AGTAAGGAGAATTGCCTAGCAGTTTACTTCATCTGTGGCTGCTTCCTCTAGTCACTCACACCCCTGCAGTTCTGCACATATTATATCCAGACCTCTGCTGACTACTAATGAAAGGGTACACACTTTTAACAATAGTGAAGAAATCATTAAACGCTTTTAGATTTGGCAGAATTGGTATTTTTTAGCTGATTCACAGCAATACACCCACACACCAGAAGCTGCTATGCAGCAGTTGGCAAAGAGGAATTAGCTTCAAAGATTCTGAATTAAATAATTTTTAAAAATAAAGAGCATGCAAACCCCCCCCCCCCGTTTTAAGATTAGCAGTCTTCTGCTCTTCTCTAGGCTTTAGGGAACATTAACTTCCAGCCATGACAATGGTTTTGTTTGTACATGCTAAGTTTCCAAATTACAAAATAGATACTAACAATTCAAATCAAATAAAGGTGAGAATACTTTTAAAATATTTGGAACCTCAAAGTTCCATACACAATATGCTGCTTCCTAGAATTGTGATCCTTTCCTTTCCTGATCTCCCCTATTGTGCGCATGAATAAGCACAAAAATAGCAGTACTCGGCTAACTACAGCTTAAAATACTTCATCTCACAAGACACCGATGAAAATAAAAACAGCATGCTGGGTAGATGCAAAGTACAATGTGTATTATTATGACTCAATTCCTCCACGTCCCTTTTATCCGTCAGCAAAGCATCTACTTTGGGATGAAAATAGGGGCACACAGCTGCCTGGGAAGATGTGCCCCTTAATCCTCTATAAGTCTGCAAAATGTATGGCTAGTAAAAGTTATTCTCTATACTGTCCAGTTGGACTAATGTTGTAATGGAACTATTTTATCAGGGAGACAAAGTGCCTGGACTTAAAAATTGTATTAGCAGGGGTAATAGCACCATCTACCATTCTGCTCAGCCTTCCCTATTTCTTAAACTTGGCTGCATTCCTCACAGTAGCTGGAAGCAAAATAGACAGTACTTATGTCTAAATACTTTCAACAGCTATTCTTGCTGCAGTTCATAGGGTGGGGCATAGTTTTGTATTGAATGGGAGTAAAAGTTACTAGGAATTAAATAAAAAGAAAATTATTTAAAAACCCAATTTTTGCAATGTCTCAAATGTTTTCTTATCCTAAGGGAAGCACCCCATTTTTTTCCTTAAGAGTTTTCTACCTTTTTCTCATGGTGTCTCAGCATTTCTTTCAAAATTCTCTAAGTGGTGTTTGTCAACGCTGCTAACATCAGATGTTCTTGCTTTGACAATAGATGGAAATGCAGCCATTTTTCACTATTGTTTTTAGAGTTAGTTGATGTTGGGAGGGGGAATGTAGATGAGAGCCCAGCTAGTCTTAACAATAATAACTCAGCTGTGGGAACCCAAGGTCATTGGGCCCAGAGCTGATAGAGTTTTGGCAGGCTGGAGAGCTGGGAAGAAAGCCAGCTAAATTGGGGAATATGATTTATGACTGTTTATTGGAGGAGGGAATTGTGCTTTGTTACTTTGTATCCAGGGGAGGGGAATTTAGTTTTTGGTTTCGACTATGTAGTGCTGAGACTTTGTTTCTCGAATAAAAGATTCTTTAAGGTAAACAATACCTCAAAGTTCTTTTGAAGAATTTCATCTGTCGGAACCATGACATTAAACCAAAAACTACAATTTTTACCTTACTATCTTGGGGTCCCAAGCCCCAGTCACTGTCCCTAGAATTGAGGGATAGACTGACAAAGATTCGGGAAAGATCTCAACATGGAGAAGGAAGGAGTGCCTGAAACCAACATCCTGGCACTGGCTGCTACCTCAAAGGAGGGAGCGCAGGCCAGCACGCTGGTGGAGAAGGAACATTTTCAAGTCTCTCAGATGGGGGCAACACCCAAACCACGAGGACAGCTGATCTAGTCATTGAATGGACCTTGCCCAATGGAGATTCTAGACACTTTAAGACGGCCTTGCCACAATCAAGTGCTTCAAAGGCAGACGAGGTCGAGCTGCAAAGAGGGGCTTCCTGCAAGTTGTGTTCCCTGGACCGGTGGAGAACCACGAAATTGACTACTGCTGAGGAATCTAGTGAGTGGAAGTACCTGTCAGCAGTCTGTAGTCAATCAGTGGAGAAGTTGGTGGAAAGTTTTGAGGAGCTAGAGATGAAAAGTGGAGAACAACCCTCCCATTCTCCATACGAGAGCGATCATGATGATCGGCAAGGCAGCCACCAACTCATGCCACGGGGAAACCCCAGTCCCACCTATGCAAGTCAAGCAGCTTCCCCATCCTCGAAGCCACCTACCATGGCCTCCAGTCCCGCGGGGAGAAACAGTTCCAGTTGTCGCCCCTTCAAAAGCCCAGATCACTGCTGGCGAGATAAGAACCTGAGCCATCACCGAGACAACTGAAGCACGGATTGATGTGCTTACTGGCCACTCAGCCTGGGGCCCATACAGCAATGAGAGATGTTGCAGCCCCCACAGATGGGAGGCCAGCAGTCGCTGTTGGTGCAGCAACCGAACTGGCAGTGGACGCAGCCCCTGAATGTGCAGCAGCAGATGGAGGCTTTGTAGCAATCGGGGTTGATGCAGCCACCAGGGGTTCAGCAACCACTGGAAGTACAGCAGCAGCAGTGGGGCTGGCCACCATCTCTGAATGCTAAGGGGCCTGCAACCAATGGGGATCCAGCAATAACCACCTCTGGGGCCACAGAGAGGCCTACAACTGGGGATGCCAGAATCACCCGCAGGTCAGTAGCAGTGGGGGTGCCAACAGCCCCTTTCCAGCAACCACTGGAAAGCCTGCAGCAACTGGGGATGCCATTTCAGCAGCCGCTGAGACCGTTGGGGATCATACAGTAATTGGGGATGCCACAGCCACCAGCAATGCAACAACAGCCTTGGGGGTGGAAACAGCCCCCAACGTGCAACAACCACTGGGAGGCCTGCAGCAACTGGGGATGCAGCAGCCACCATGGAGACACCAGCAACCATTGGAGGTGCAACATCCACAGTGGGGAGGCCAGCAACCACTGGGAATGCAGGCTCCCTGGGGAGTGCAGCAACCACTGATGGCGCCACCTCTTAGAGCAGTGGTGGAGAACCTATGGCACGCGTGCCAGAGGCGGCACTCAGAGCCCTGTGGGCACATGCACCATGCCCTGGAGATGGCAATCATCCCTCTTCAACCAGCCGCCCACTAACTTGCTGAGGTCCCATGTGGCCAGATGCATCCCAGCACCCATGCGCTCGCTGGCCTGTGTCTGGGGGCTGATGGTGTGAAGCAGCAGCCACCCCAGCCCCTGCCTCACCTCGCCCTGTGACAATGGCACCGCCGCCCTGCCTCACTTTGCCTTGCCTCATCATGCAGGACGAGCTTCCTGCCTAACGCCCCACCTGCCAGAGACCCCCTGGATCTCCCCTAATCCTGCCCAGCCTCCACAGGCATCCCTTGCCACAAGCAACATCAAGGTGATCATGCCTACCTTGGCCACACGCACCCAATCTACCATGACCACCACAGCCATACCCACCTAGTGGGCCATGCCCACCTGGCACCTGGTGATAAATAAGTGGGTTTTGGGTTGCAGTTTGAGTGCTCAGTCTCTGAAAGGTTTGTCATCACTGTCTTAGAGCAACCTTCGATGGAAACCCAGAGAAGCTGACCTTTCTTCAACGAGGTGCATTCTCACTTGAACTGCTGTGCCTATTTCTACCTGAACCCAGACGATGTGGTTGCGTCCAGCTTAGAAGGGGAAGCATCTGAGTGGCTGAACAACTTATACAAGTAAGCACCTGAGTTGGGGATCCCCATCTCTTCCTCCTAGGACTGAGAGCAAGGTTCGAGGACCCATCCATTGCCCTCAAAGCGGAGGAGCAAGTCCACAAGATAAGGCAAGCCAGCAGGCCTGCACTGGAATATGTATGTTTTGCATGATAGCCAGCCAAATAGAGAGGTGGCCCAAGCAATCCCTAGTTCATCACTTCAAGGAGGGACTAGATGACCACCTCTCCCAGGCTTGTGTCTATTGAACAGTCCCTAATCAGTTGCAAGAATGGTACCAGGCAGTGTAAGACTGGACGTCCAGCTTGCCCGTTGTAAGAAGTCACCTCCCCCTAAGAAGGCACCTGGACCTCTTGTAGTGGCAGGACAGACTCACTATGAAGTAAAGTGTATTCTTGATTCTAGAATTTTTAAAGGGAAATTGCAGTACTTAGTGCAATGGAAGGGATATCTGTTGTCTGAGGCCACCTGGGTGAAATCTACCAATGTAAAAGCTGATAGACTTATTAATAGGTTCTATAAAAAACACCCTAACAAACCAAGAGGCAACCCCTAACCTGTGCTTTTGTTTGCATTACAGGATTTGTCCTTTTTGTAAGGGGGGCCCGGATGTCAACACTGCTAACATCAGATGTTCTTGCTTTGACAACAGATGGAAATGCAGCCCTTTTTCACTATTGCTTTTATAGTTAGTTGATGCTGGGAGGGGGAATGTAGACTAGCCCAGCTAGTCTTAACAATAATTCAGCCATGGAAACCCAAGGTCATTGGGCCCAGAGTTGATAGAGTTTTGGTGGGCTGGAGAGCTGGGGAGAAAGCCAGCTCTTCAAGCTAATTGGGGAATGTGATTTATGACTGTTGGAGGAGGGAATTGTGCTTTGTTACTTTGTATCCAGGAGAGGGGAATTTAGTTTTTGGTTTCAACTATGTAGTACTGAGACTTTGTTTCCCGAATAAAGGATTCTTTAAGGTAAACAATGTCTCAAAGTTCTTTTGAAGAGTTTCATCTGTCGGAACCATGACAATGTTTTTGAGTTTATCTTGTTGCTGGAGGAGATTAATGAAGTTACTGTAGAACTGACATTGTTTTGTTAAAGATCTGTCCATCACTCTTCCCAGCTTGGGGGAAAAAAAATTGTGGGAGGAATTCCCTTGAATATTTTCCTTTAAATGTAACTAAAGCATGGAACCCAGGAAGGAGACAAACTGTTACAAAGAAATCTGTGTAATAAAAACCAGGACATTTATACATACAGTTACCCATTATGAACTTAACACATATGAAGGACCATATTGCCCCAAGAGGATTTCACACATATTTACTTCACTGAAATAACATAAACTAACTTCATTGCAGTCATTAAATAGCACAAGGTCACTGAAATACATTTTGAAACCAAAATTGCTATCATTAATTTACTACCATGAAGCTGGTATAAAAGTGCAGAAAAGAATATTTTTAACAACTCTAATTAGAAATAATTAAACATACACAAAATAGTTAGAGTTGTTGGGTGTCAGGTGGCATATACATTTAATAAAGTATAAATTGCTATTATTAAAATACAGGGAACTGACATTGGTCAGTCTAAGATTAATGCATGAAAAGATTTTGCAGCAGATTATAAAGAGGTGGATTTAAAAATATTTTGAAAAAAAATCCCTTTTAATCAGAATTCATCATGGATTTATCAGGAACAAGACTTGCCAGACTAACTATATCTCATTTTTTAGCAGTAACTTGTATGATATGTATTGTGAGCATTTTGTGGTAAAGATGGATGGCTAATACCTTGGAAGATATACTATAAAAAATTCACACTTAGGAAACAAAGATCACATACATAGATATTGTGGGAGAATCTTGTGACAAATATTTCTGAATTGTAGATTGCATACTGATGAATAGTTTGAAGTGGCTGAAAAAAAAGCAAATGCATCCACAGAAGTATACATTTTCAGACCCAAGGAAATTATTCACATTTTATTCTAAATTGGTAGATCCCATCATACATTTTATGTTCAATTTTGGGCATCACACTTTAAGAAAAATTCAGAAAAACTTCTAAAGATTGAGATGATAAAGAGGACTTTACAAGCCTATGAAGACTTTAATGATGAATTTCATCTGGAAGGATACTTGGTAGTTAAAAATTCAATTGCATTATGTTGCTTGAAGCACAGGAATATGTACTAACTCCAGCATACCACTTCATAAACAATAACAACACACTTTTCTCATATTAATTTTCTGCCAAGTGAAAGAACAGATACTAAATAACATGTGAGAGTTTAATGCACATCTGTACTGCCACTTATGGACTCATAACATTGGAGGCATTACTTTTCACCCATCTCATATCTATGCTATCAAAAAACCAATCTAATGTGATGAACTGTGATCCAAAACACCCTTTATGTTATAATAAATGGGTTATCTATGAAATAATTTTTTAAAAATCTGCTGTTCACTTCAAGCCCAGCATGCTTTGAAAGCACCTTTACATAAAGAAATGACCTTTATATAAAAGATATTGCCATCATAAAATATTGAGTATAGGGATTTGTATAAAAGTGAGATAACCAAACTGACATTAAAATTTTGTCATCTATTAAGATCAACTTGTAAGCTGAATTTGCTACTAGTTTGCAGGATACAAATAATGGAAAGCCACTGCATATGTTTTGATAGTTTGGAGGATTTTGCAGGATTTCTGTGATATACAGCTGTTTTCTAATTGTTAATTCATTTTGAATAAAGCTTAGCTAACTATTATTATTTCACTAGCAAGAAACTGAGAAGTACTATAGCGAAGCTCTAGTGTTACAGAATTTGATGACTGAGAAATATGAAATACTGACCGGACAAAAAATTCTGGTAGCAGAACAATGCACACACAGCTCTTTCATTGAGTAATTTATCTATATTTCTTAGAATTTCCTTCTATTTGAGGGCACTGCTTAATTTTACTATACATTCCTTATGTCATTATTTTATATTTCCCCCCACTTTTTTTAAAAAAAGTCTATGCTAGTAAATTGTCAACTAGAAAACTACACCCCACACAGAAATTATGCACATACCAAGCCACTGTTTATTATTTCATAGACATTCCAATTTATGTTTAAACATATACAGTTATCTCAAGACTGGGTAGCAATCCACATGCACAGTAAGATTTTCCTTCCCCACTATGGTCTCTTCTGCACATCCCTCCCCCCAGAACAAAATCTGTGGAATAACATGGGATGAAGCCAACCAGCGGCAACGAGGCAGAGAAACTGGACGATGTTCAGAGTGTTGCCTATGGGTAATGTCAAGTTATTTTTGGAGGAAACTAAGATATCAGTCAAGATGACACAGTGATATGTCAATATTCGACTGGCACATCTTTCACAATCCACCTCAGTGAGATGCTTTGCCATCAGAGAAACTGCCAGCTCCCCCTTTGCATTTCAGCACCCATCAATATGTGCATAAAAGTGCTTTGTACTGTACTAGAATCCAAATGCATATTTTGGTTAGCCTGTGTGGCTCCTTCCATTCAATACTTTAATAAAAAAACTGAAATCTTTGTCCTGTAGAAACTACTAGGATTTCCTGAGCTTGTGACACATCTTTTTTTTTAAAGTAACAATTCTGATTGTTTTGGAGTTCATACTAACCACAACCTATGCTAAGACATGTTATGAAGAAAGGGGAAAAATAATAAAGAATTCAGTAAGTTTGCTCATGTAAACATTTCTTCAACATCCATGAAGTTAACATATTTGAAAAAAAAATGATTAAAAATAAAATAAAAACAAAAACACTTTTAGGTGATCCAGAGATAAACTGAGGAAGAATATATAGCCACAGATATAAAAATGATGAGTTCAAGTTTCACATAAGAGATTTAGTTATCTTATCCTAACAAAGCTGTTAATGAAAATCATAGGAAATTTAGCAAAACAAGTATTTAATTACAATGCCCAAATTTCTGCAACAAAAATGGAAAATTCATGTTTGGAATTACACCAGAAACTTTCAAGCTGAAAAGAATTTCTGAATTTATACTGAGATTTAAAGCAATAAGTAATCTTTGTGTAAGTTACAAGTATGATTGTCACATGACAATCTATTATGTGTAACATGATGATGGGGAGGAATACACCTCCAGCTATTAGCCTGCTAAGGCATCTGAAGAAAAGATGCTTCAAGACATGAATTTGCTATCAGACTTATTTCCCTCAAATATAAGGATTTATTTGCAGGCATATGTTATGGACTCAGTTCCTACAACTTCCAATTCTAAGAAAATCCTGTTGTTTATTTGCAGCCAAGAGACATTTCTTTCACCTTATCTTTTGTTTCTATACCTGTTTTGTTTCTCCAAACAGGAACATAAGAATCTGTCTTATACCATGTCAGATCATTTCTCTAGCTAACGTATACCATGATAAAGCTTTTTTTCCAAGATTCTTTTGCAGGCGTACCTTAAGTTTCTGGGACTTTCAAAATGTCAAACATGGTTCCTTGTTGCAAAAGATTTTATTCGGTTTAGATAAATCCTGCATTTTACCAAGGAGCTGAAGCACTCCCTCCTCTCTTTTCAACCTTAATCTTCATAGAAGTCACTTAAGCAGTTGGTAGCTGATATTATGTGGTTTAGGTCTACATTTTCTATATTAAAACATAATTACCGTGATTGCAAATAAAACTGTAATGGTTTGCCATTCCTTATAATGCATTATCACAGGAAGGCAATTTAATCAGTGAGGAGCTTAAAAAAATACCTAGTATATATTATGAGATGTTGCATATCTATTATTCAACCATAAAAGAGGTAAAAAAATCCATCACCTTAGAAACGATCCCATATGTTTTACATTGATTTCTTAATAAACGGATGACAGTTCAGAAACAGTTACATTTTTCCTATATTTGAAGCATCACAGTATGGAGCTGCCAAAAAAAACCCCAAACAAACAGGGCAAAGCTTTTCAAGAGGGATTATCTTTGGGGGATGAGTACTCCTGCTTCTCCCCGTGATACGGAAAATCACTGTACCTGTAGTGATTTATTGAAGTTTTTTTAAAAAAAATAATCAAATGATTGCATGCACATACAGAAACACAAGTGGTATTTGCTAATTAATTCCCAATTCATTTGGAACATTAATACTTACAAGGAAGCAGGAGGACAAAATGGGAATGTGCCATATACATTTACATAGAAAAAATGATTTGATGTATGAAATAAAAAAATAGTCATCCAAATTTGCAATGCTCAAATACTCAGACCCATGGTTTTCTCTAGTAAAATTAGTCTGGTGACCAATATACCTGAGGCTCTTTTTAATATTTATCTATCAGCATTTTAACTGTTCTTTGAGAACAGAAAGAACTGAGCATAGTTGGTTGCAAGTATTTTGCAGCCAAGCCCTAACTTGCTTACTTTCAAATAAGGAGTTTAATTTAGTGGGATTTGTTTCTGGGCTAATAAGCTATTCTTCTAACCAGCAATACTAGAATATAGCTTCCATTGCTGGAAAAGTCCTTGTGTGTCAATTATGTGCAACTCCTTAACCAAGCATTCTTGGTTAAAAGCCATGGCTTTTCCTATTCATTGTGTATCTTCTTCAATTTTAGTTAACATTATGATTTCAATATTGTTTCCAAATTCAAAAGCACCCTGTGGTCACTTTGACTGAAAACACATGCAATGCACATGTAAAATCTGCAAAATAGATGCCAGTTTCCCTTATAGTGGTGCTTTAAATAATTATTCACCATTTAATATACGTTCAATCTCTTCCAGTCTTTTCAGTGCAGCAACTCTTTTTTTCTCTATCTCTTTTATCTCTTTTGTCGATTTCTTTTTTGTCTCTTTGTCTGTAGTGTTTTTATTTCCATGTTTTTTGGACTTCCTTTGCTCCTTGCTGACATTAGTGTTTGTGGTCTGAGGGCTCTTCTGCTCTTTTTTTACCTCTTTCAAGTGTTCAGATGGAGTTTTTTTTCCTTCCACAGATGCTACTTTTTCTGTATGAGTCACACTTGTGTCCCCTAGTCTGAGGGAAGCAATTTTACTTCGGACAATGCTTAAATGGCGTTGGATGTATTCCTCATGTGGGGCTAAGGCCAGTGTTTCCACTAAGCATTTTTCTGCCTTTAATAAGTCTCGCTCTTCAAAGTAAACCACACAGAGGTTGTGTTTTCCTTGCACATTGTTTGGGTCCATTTTCAGAATTTTCTCAAAACATTGTTTTGCTCCCTGTATATCTTTCTTTTGGTTCATCAAAATGTCTCCCTTCAAAATTAAACCTTTGGTATGATCTGGGTAGTACCTCAACAACTCCTCCAACACTGGTAAAGCTTTCAGTTCTTTTGCAGTCTGAGAATAAAGCAATGCCAAGTTGAACAAAGCACTGCGGAAGCCTGGCAGTAACTTTATGGCTTTTTTCATCCACATCTCGGCTTCATCATCTTTTTTATCATCCATTGCAAGCATGCCTAAATTAAAATAACCATTTGCATCTTGAGATTCTTCTTTTATATAACTTAGAAGTCTCTTCTTGGCTTCAGGCCTAAGGCTGGCCTCACCTAATGCAACAAAAGAACATTAATATGGACTATCCAGTGCTGTACAAATAGGACAGTATTAATAGTCTTTGTTACTTATGCTTGTAGTTTTAGATTCATGATACTATAAATTTTACAATTTGATATAGGATCCTTCTTAGAGTCTGAAAGATCCAGAGGAAGCATATTATATACCCACTTTTTTCTCCCAACATCATTACAGTAAATTTTTGGTCCCACTGAGGTAAATGGATTTGGAAACCAAAATAACTATATAATGTTTGGGATTTCAGTTAATTAATTCCATTGCTTTGAATGGAAAATAACAACTGATCCTTTCAAATACTGAAAAATAATTGGTTGTGGCCCAGGAAAATTACCCCACTGCTTCCATCCCAAAGCCTTTAAAATTATTGCTTCAAATCTTGTTTGTATCCCCACACTGGAATATAACTTATTAAAATAATTTATTAGAGATACATCTCACCTTTCCTCAGAACTCAAAATGGAATATATACCACTTCCTCCTCCCTACTTTTCCCTGTAACAGCAACACTATGGGGTAAGTTTTGCTGGGAGACAATGATTTTCCATGACAAAATGTTCCTTGAAGCAGACTCTCCTAGGTGCCTATACAGTATCTTAATCACTGCATCAAAAATCACAATCATTGCAGAACAGCACTGAAGACACAATTCACCATGCAATGACACTGTCTTGTGTTTAATTGTAAGGGATCCATTTCTTATAAGCTAGAATCTGACTTAAGAGAGAAGATTATTAATATGAAGGAACTCAGTTCTTAAAATATATTCTTCAAAGCCAACATTTTAGACAAACCATTCTGAATGGGAACTATTTAACTTGCTTAGAATTTGTACTCCTGAAATAGGATTGTGTTCTACAAATTTGTTACTTATCCATTTTTGAAAAAGCAAACTTGATTATTCATTAAATGAGTATAGCATAGATTTTATAATATCAATTTGTGATTTTATAATGCTAGAGAGTCATTGATTATTACTAATTTTGGTTTGACCTTTTGTTAATATGTGACATATATCAATCATGTTGTTTTAGTTTTGGAGTTTTTCATGTATTTTTTTCCTGGTTTTTCTTTTTTGTATTTTTCCCAATAAAACATGATAATAAATAATAATAAAATATAATACAACTTTTAAAATTTTGCTTTAAAGTTCTAGGTATACATACCAGATTCTTGCATTAATAGTGCAGAATTGAACAAGGCTAGTTTGTGACTAGGATTCAGTTCTAATGCCTGATTGAAGTTCTTCAGAGCTTCAGATGGATCTTTCAATTCAATATAAACAATTGCCAAGTTATACCATAAGTCTGCATTGCTTCGATCCAATTCAAGAGCCCTTAGGTAAGCTTCTTTAGCTTGCAAAGGTTTGTTCATCTTTAGAAGCAATTCACCTCTGTTGAAAATCAAAACTTTAAATTATATGGTTTCCATTCCCTCCATTTTCTTGCTATTAAAATAGCACTTGCTTTAGACAATAGAGCTGCCTACTCACATTTGACATTTCATTATGAATATAAGATTATAAAGTACCTGCTAATGTATGCCTGTTTGAAATCTGGCCTCATGCTAATGGCTTGACGATACAATTGGTCTGCTTCTTCAAGACGAGACTCATTTGCCCGAATCAGGTTTGCAAGGTTTATGTAAACATTCAGATGGTTAGGAGCAACTCGCGCAGCATATTTTTTACCTGGAATAATCTGACAGCAGAAGAAATTGTATTATGCTTGGAAGAGCATTAACCATACATTTATCAAAACTATAACACAATGAAAGCTATAACAGTTTCAAAGACTGTAGTTATGAAATGAAATGCCTAAAGTATAATTAGTTTAAAACTAAGTACAACTTTCATTTGAACTGAGAATACATCTTTCTAATACAAAAGCAAGCTGAAATATAACTGCAGACAATTAATAACCTACAGTATATTTTTATTTTTTTAAAAAAATAAATGTTATAATATTATGAAAATACAGACAAGACAAGAAAAAGGCTGAACTAGACTGATTGCTAAAATTTCCAGCAAACTAAAAAAGAAAACTCCTTGTGACCCCAATATCTTTTGCTTAAAAAGACATTCCAAATCTAATGAAACTTCCCAAATAAGCAGTTATTTCACTTACCTGTGGCATCAATGATTTTGCAACTAAATAGGATTCTTCTGCTTCTCTGGTTCTGTTTAAATTTTTGTAAGTTCTTCCTACATTCATATGAGCACCAATATCATCTGCAAATTGCAAGATAAGCAATACCTTCAGTTCTTTCTTATCATCTAAAATTCCAGTCTCAGTCACAACAATTTAAACTGGAATCAAATAAATATTAAATCCTCCCCACTCCCACTTCCATTTTTTCCTATTTAAAATATGACTGATATGACATACATTCAAGAAATTTCAAGACATTTATTTGATAATACAAAACCACAAGAATTTTGCAATGTTCCAAGTACAAAACACAAACACACATATTGTACACATTACAGAAAAAAATATGGTTGCTTTATTGTTGCTTGGGCCTCTTGGCTGTTTAATTCAGAGGCAGGCAAAGGATGCTTTTAAGTTATCTCTGGATTCTGTCAGCCTAGGTCAGTATGACAATGATGAGGGATTACAATCTGGCATCAATTGGAGTGATGTACATTGCCGCCCAAGTTACTTTGATAAATACAATATTCCTATAATCTCATGTAGAGATCTTTCTTGTAAAGCATTACCCATTTCTTTTTAAATTACATTGTTAAGGACTGAGCATGAAACTTTCTGCACGTAAAACATGTGCTCTGCCCCTGAACTACAGTGCTTTCCCTTAGGAAAATCAGCCATGAAAGATTAATATGCAACTTAATAATACCTAGATGGAGCAGTTTTTAAAAAACATTACATTTAAGGACTCAGGATGCAATCAAACTTTTCATACTTATATAAGTTCATAAAATTTTATATGTTTCTAAGATTTCACACTAACATTTATTTCACTTACACAATTTATGGTATTACTCCAATGTATCACCCTAGGTAGTTAACAGAAAAACACAAAATAACATTTCCTAGTAAAATGCAATAATTTGAGACCACAATAACCTAGCTAAGAAGAGTCATCCTATCATATTAGCTCAGAACAAATTTCTGCTTAAAAAGAGGGGTCTTCAGGACTTTCTGGAGTGCCAAGAGAGGGAACAGACATATCTCTGCAGGCAACAAATTCTACAATGTTGGAGCAACCAAGGAGATTGCTTGTCCTTCTGGACAATGATCCTTCCATCTCTTGCAATGACAAGAAAAAAAAAACAACCCTCAATGGTCTTACAGATAAAGTGATCCCAAATGCCATCCAGTGTAGCAAACATAAAATAGTTATTAACCTGTAATGACCAACATAACTGCCTATATCAGTGGTAATTGCTGAGTTGTCTTCAAAGGCAGCACCTTCGAGGGAGCACTGCAACATGAGTCATTAAAGCTTTCTGGTCCATGTTGCAGTAGCTGTATGCCAACTAATGTTAGGCAAAGTCTTTGTGGTTATAGGGAAAATATTATGCAAAGAAAGTTCTTATATTATTGCCTTTCATGCTAGGTATTTCTTACAACTCACCTGGCTGCACTTGGGTGGCCTGTATGAAGAATCTCAATGCTCTTTCAAAGTTCTTTTCATTTTCTAAAGCATGACCCACATTATTCCAGAGTTTAGCATTGTTCTTATTTACCTGAACACAGAAAACATGTCAGAAACAAACAAGTCCTATGCAAACTGAATAATTCATTTATGAAAGCATAATCTATTGATGTGGAATGTTTTAAGGATGAGTGTATAAGCCTATGCATGTACTAAGAAAATGTATAAAAGCTTTATGGGCACTCCATTAATGTTAGAGACATTTGGAACTGAACTCATTAATTTAGAATCTAAAATGATAGCTTCAGATATTTAGAATCTTATGATAGATAGTACATTGCTTATTTCCCCAGCTACATGCTTTCCAGGTGCACGGATGTCAACTTCCAGAATTCTGTACCTGTCATGGCCACAATGAGAATTCTGGCAGTTACAGTTTGCATCTCTTAAGACATCTGATTTGGAGAAGGCTGCTATAAAAGATTGAGATGGTATGATAGTGGATACAGTCAGAAAAATTGTGGGTGGAATCAGGACAAAAGGAAAATTTGATTTTCAGTAAGTTAATATTACTGTCTAGAGGCACATTTAATAATTTCTAACTTCCAACACACTAAAAATGACTGGGCAACAGAAATTTCTCAGTATTACATATACAGTTTTAGCTGGAAACACCTTAGAACCTCTGTTTCAGTAGAATGACTCGGATTTTTCGTCTACAGGCAATCTCTACTGAATGCCACAATTGGCACTGATCAATCATCAGTTGTTAAGCAATGTGGTTATTAAGAGAAACATATGTGTCAGTTCCCAAATTATATCAGTTCTGCTGTGGTTTAGAAAATAATCTGAAGTCCTTAAGCACAATGTCATATAACCATGACTTGTAGATTTTCCCTGGCTTCTCCGTTGTTTTGCTTGTCAGAAGCCAGCTGAGAAGATCACAAATGTAAATCACATGATTAAGGGATGCTGCAGCTGTCATATATGCATGCTGGTTGCAAGGTGCTCAAATAGTGACCACATGACCACAGAGACACTGTGACAGCCATAAGTTCAGGGACCAGTTTTAAATCTACTTTTTCAGCAATGCTGTAAGTTCAATGCTCGCTTAGCCAAGGACAACCTACATTTATTAATTCCCAGTATCCCTCCTAGAGAGGAAGGGAGAGCTCTGAAAACTAAGATATCAGAGGCTGTCAAACCTGAAGTATTTTTTTTCCTGACACAAGTCCTTCAAGAATGCATTACGGTCAGAAATAAGAGTTCAGAATAATAATACTGTACCTTTAAAGCAGACATAAACAATGTATATTCCGATTCCCAATCCCAGTTCCTCTGCAATGTTTTTAAGGCATGAATGAACAAAACCAAAGACAAACAAATCCATGATAGCTTTCTCAGGGTACTAGCAAATAAAAATGAAAAAAAGTTGTGGTTAATGTAATTCCTGAATTCCCAGGCTAACATAGACAGCATATTTCCCAATAAGGGCATTTAACTCATAGAAGCTCAGTTTACAATTCTGGATCCAATTTAACATTAACCATATTTTCACAATAAGCTGCTTCAGGAAGCAGAACAGATGCTGATAGGAGAAAAAGCACTAAGGCAGTTTGCTAAATGCAATGTCATTTTGCATTTAGCACTTTATTACAAATAAACAGTAATAAGATATAAAGAGATAATGAAACCTATTTAGATGGAAGTTGCTTCTGTTATCAGTATAGCTACTGACTATATTTGTCATTCAATCCATTGAGCTGTTCTTAGCTTGTTTGAATCATTAGAAACTTGATGAATTCCAGTAGTAACTAAATATCACTACTTTGAAAAATAGGGCTTATTATTTGGAATAACTGGAATCTAGACTTTATTACCAAAATGAAGAAATACAGCTGCCTATACATAACTGGCCATATGAAACACTGGAAAGATTATCTATCTATCTATCTATCTATCTATCTATCTATCTATCTATCTATCTATCTATCTATCTATCTATCTATCATTATAGTTTCAACATTCATTTCTAGTTTGTTGCTATGAAGGCATAAAAGATAATGGAGAACAAAACCATGAAGGCAAACCTACCGTAAATTTTATTTCAGGAAGCAATATTTATTTATTAGAGAGTGCTTGCACTTAAAGCGGTATATAAGTCTCATAAATAAATAAATTCTCATTCTTAAGAAGAAAGCAATGCAAAATAAAGTATTTGTTTCTTTGAATAAAAAAAGAAGTCAAACAACTGATGATCACTTTCCCTCCAAAGGAAAATCAAAACTCTACTTTAAGCCCTGTCTGTGAATTTACCTTGGATGTTTAATATAATAACTATTTGCACAGCTATAACTGAGGGAACAGAAAGATCAAATATTTTATTTTAGAAATACATCAGAGTTGACAGAGCTTATGTGTTAACAAGAAAACATATTAAAAGTTTTGTTTTATAATTACTAATTAAAGCAATAATAATAAACAAAAAACAGAGACTTCCAGTTTGCCATCGTGGTGCCACGGACGCTGGAAGACGAGCTCCATCTTTCGTATCTGGTTTCATCCCGCTGGGGGATCCTGGAAAGGGTCAAAAATTGCCCTGTAGGGGTGATGAGCACGGAGGGGACCCCCACTTGATTGCAGGAGGGCGGCGGCCCTTCTGTTGGATCCAGGGAAGCCTTCCAAAGTGGCGGGGGAAAGACTGGCCTTAGCAATATGGCTTATCACTAAGCTGCTAACAGCCAAAGTCAAAATCACCACCAAGCACCTTTAAAGCATTGCGGATGAAACTGGGTGAGATCTGATCTTCTCTTTAAGACTTAAGTATTTTTTCCTGCAAAAGCTGCCCAAAGTATATTTCCCCCTGTGAGGAGAGAGGGAAGTGAATTTCTACCCGACCCTCTAAGAACTACCCAGGGGAAACAGAGCAACTATAAGAAAATTTTTAATCTAATTGGATGTATATGCTTTTGAAACTTGGGGATTAAAAGTGTTCCTACTCTTACTGGAGATGTTTGTTTTTATCTAAAAAAAAAAAAAGAAATAAGACTTGAAAACTATCATAAAAACATTGGACTTAAAAACTTTAAATAGCATTGGTGACATCTTGTGGCAAAGTATGTATTGCAACTTGTTATTGCATAAAAGAGACTTGGCTTGAAGCCCAGACTCCAGAAAAAAAACTTCTCTGACCTTGACAGCTATCACCTGTGAAAAACTCAGCTGCAAAGAAGGAGCTTTTGGGCAGCATATCTGGCCTGTTTGAACTATGAATGTAAATTTTTACTGACTTTCAGAGCTATACATGGGGAATTGCTTTCCTATTTCTTTACATGAGAAGCATATGTTATCACATGAGATGATGGAATACCCTGGACTATAAACTCTTACTTGACAAACACTTTCTACTATAAAGACTACCTATAACATGTGAAATAGATGTTCCATATCTAGCTATCAAAAACAAAAAACTATTCTTAATGTTTGATTCTGAAGTCTTCGACTTAAGATACTATCAAGAGAATATGGATGAAGATCAGGAAAAAATCCTTTCCATGTTGAAATCAATACATGAAAGCATTCTTTCAGCTTGTGACAAAATAAGATGCAACATAAAGGAACAAGATGCCAGCTTAAATATACAAACCCAGATCTTGACTACAACCAAAGAACTAACAATGCAAAAAATAACAGGAGAAGTGAAACAACTAAATATTAAGACAGAGGACTCAATTGACCAACAGATCCAGCCAATGGAAAAATCAGAAAAGAGAGTGACAACACTGAAAATGAAAAAGACTTTTTACAAAAATCAGAAGAAATTTGAGGAAAAGGAAGAACAGATTGAATGGAAGATAAACCTATCAGGACAATTGTGGGAAATTGGAGTAATAGGGAGGCGATCTAATGAATACAAATGGGCTAGTTCTTCCAAAAAAACTGCAACCAACTGGTCTTTCTTATTCCAAAATAATATATATAATAATAAAGGGAGAACTATTTGATGATCAAAAGCATTGACATGGACGGTTAGTTGGCAAAGGAAGAAAGCCAGAGTAAGGCTGAAGAAAATAAGGGTTTTGATTTATTAGAGGGTATTTCATATTACTAATTAGAGGGTTGAATATGGTGGAAAATAGATAATTTTTAGAAAATAAAGTAACATTATAATTTAATATGTATGATGTGTAACAATACTAATAGACTTTGGTATGAAAAGGGAAAAAGGGAGAAGTTGAGATAAGGGAAATTTTGGTCACCTAATATAAAATATTTGGAAATCAGTTGAAAATAAGAATTCTGTTTGCCCAATATGAGATAATAGATATTACCAGAAAAAGAGAGAGAGTATTTGAGCTTTTAAAAATTAGATCTAAACCAAAAAAATATGTATATTACTGATTTATTGGTTAACCCAGACAATACATATAATGGTTTTGCTCTATTAGAGCAGACATGTCAAACTTGCGACGTCACATGACATTGCGCAATGTATTGGGACTATTTTGCCGGCAATGTGGTGGGCCCAGCTTCTGCGTGATGCATCCAGCCTGCGGGCTGGCAGTTTGACATCCCTGTATTAGAGGGTATACTGTATTATTAATTAGATGATTTAATATAGTAGAAACTTTCAGAAAACAGAACGAGACTATATTCAAATAGATAAGATGTGCATTTAGAATATTAGATTTTGTTATGAAAAGGGAAAAAGGAAAAAGTTGAGATAAAGGAAACTTTATCTTGGAAATTATAAGTATCATTTGAATATTGACGGGAAATTAAAGCTTGGTAAGAAAGTAATAACAGGACATTGATTGTATATAAGGATTGAATGCAAACACAATTAAAATATGTATAAGCTAAAAATTATTGATAAATGTAACAAAGATGTTTTTACTTAGTTGATAACAATAAGAACTGTATTAGCCTAATATAAGATAGCCTAAGATAATAGATATTAAGGGAAAAAGAGAGGAAATATCTGATGTTGTAACTTGAGATTTATACTAAAGATTTATGTATGTTATTGAACTATTGATTAACCCAGTCACCACGTTGCTTTTTAAGTACTTAATTGTAAAATTAGAAAACTAATAAAATATTATTAAAAAAACAATAAACAAAAACAGTAAGAATTATTAAGACTGAATTATTCGGAAAAGATCTCCATTTTTAACACTAAAGAAGCAAAAGCAAAAGCAAACCATATAAAATTTCAAAAATAAAAAACTGCAATTGCTGAACTATCAAAGCATTTTTAAAAGCCCTTAATTTCTCTCTCAGGTGCTATAAATCTTTAAAACAAGCAGATGTAATAATAACAGGAAGTAAAGAAAACAGAAAATAATGCAAGGAAATTTAGAAAATCCTTTTCACTTACTCTCAAGTTAAGGCAGGGGTGTCAAACTACCGGTCTGCGGGCCGGTTGCATCATGCGGAGGCCGTGCCCACCCCAGCTCCAGCAATGGGAAAAAGGTCATGATATGTCGCAACATGTCACGTGACATGGCAAGTTTGACACCCGTGAGTTAAGGGATCCCCTTAGGTTATTTTAAAATATTTACAGCATTACATAAAGGGACTGATACCATGACTGAATTGATGAAATATAAAATAAGAAAAGTCTTGTAAATCATTTAGAAAAGTCTTGCAAATCATTGTTTTCAAGAAACATTTAAAATAGTACTGTAGAGTGTTCTTTTTAAAGGTTCAGATCCTGAACACTCTGGGAAATTTCAATTCTAATTAGTTTATTTGTTTTATCTACAGTAATTGGTTTATTTGTTAAAACATTAATGACAACTTTAAAAAATATAACAGTTTTTGAGATATATTTTTCTCCCTTTTCTACATTTTGCTGATTATGATGTGGAAAAGAGGGTAAAAGCAAGTAAAGATATTAAGCCACTCAGATAATTCTTCCATGTAAGCAATTTCACATTTAGTCACCATTCATGCCCCCTCCCTTTTCCCCAAGCAATAATTTTAACCTACCTGTTACTTGACAGCTTTTTCCACCCATGGGCAATTAGCATGCAGAATCCCATGCTGGGAACATATAACACTCGTTCTGCTACTACGAAGCCAACAGGGAAAAAAAGGTTTGATGCTGGGATGAATGGCAAAATTATTAAACAAAGAGCCTAAAAGAGCAAAAGAAAAAACATACACAAACACTAGCTAGTAACCCAAAGCAGAAAAATACTTAAGCATTATATACACCTACAGCATATATGTCTGTGAAAGAGACACTGATTTAATTTTACATTTATATCCCTATTTTCTTTTCCTCTAGAGTTCTGATGGAATTGGTAACTTGTTATTCTATGGCACTTATGAAATCTAGATTTATCTTGTGTTCCTTCAAAGTATGTCTACAAAGCATGTCTTTAAAACTACTTCTTAAAAGCTATATAAACTCTATTACTTTATAAATCATATACAGATAGTTGACAGTTCATTTAGTGAAAAAAATGACTTATGACAATTTTTCACACTTATGACCATTGCAGCATCCTTATAGTCACATGATCAAAATTAGATGCTTGGCAATTGGTTTGTATTTATGACGGTTGCAGTGTCCTGGGGTCACATGATCAGCTTTTGCAACCTAATGCTGATGCTGACTGTGTGTGTGTGTGTGTGTGTGTGTGTGTGTATGTATTTATGTGTGTGTGTGTGTGTGTGTATATATATATATATATATATATATATATATATATCTGTGTATGAATATATAGCCCATATATATGTGTGTATGTATATATAGCCCTTTTTATGTAGCAAATAACATTACTTGGGCTCCACTATAACTGTGATCAAGATAAAGCATAAAATTATCCCAAGGACTCCCCTTTCTATTTAATTGTATTTGTTTTCTTGGATTATTGCTAGAACAGCAATAGTTGTTAGAAAGTAATCAAGCGACTTCCAGCATTTTTGCTCCTGAAAGTTTTCATTTCATTCATAAATCAAGCATTGGATGGGGGTGGGGTGGAGGGGAGAGTCCTTTAATCCAGAATCTATCCAACACTGTTAACTGCGTTGTTTTAACCTTGCAAAAGAGCCCTGCTGTCAATAAAGCCCATATATATTACAAGAGCCTCATAAGCACAGAGGAGCAAAATCTGCAGATACAAAGTTACACTGTGAAATAGAGGCTCCAAGAAATACTTTTAAAAATTCAGCAAAGAAATAGAATATGCAACCCATTCTTGATACATCCAACGTTCCTCACAATTTTAACTACCGATAAACAATGTACCAGCTTGATGAAGGCCGACAACATTTTCCTGAGTGCTGAACTACCGCAACTCAAAGTGTTGTAACAATCAAGGACAAAAAACAATGTAGGGATGCAGTGAGAACAATAATTAACTCCATACAGAGAAAATTATGTACAATAATTAATTCCATACCTACAAAAAATAATTATTGAAATGTACCCAGTGCTAGTATAGCACAATACAACATGCAACAGAACTTAGCTAATTCAATCAAAAGTGGTGATAAATAGGATCACTATTTTCATATATGCAGCAAAATTGACTTGGGAATATTTCTATCATACTGAACTGGGACTGAATTGTAGCTGCTGAGAAAGAAAAAATCAAGTCTAAAGAAAATGTGCTGAATGAAGAATAATCTAATTCAGTGTATATTTAAACCTGTCTGTCTATTAGCAAGTAATACAAGAGGAGCTCCACCTGTGGAAAGAGTGAGAGCCAAAATACTACAGGTCTCATCACTACCCTAGGCCACTGTATCTGGGCTGTGTGTTTGAGATGGAGGATCCCCCCAGGTAAGGGAATCGGGAAGCTGGGGTTAGGGAGTTAGACAGGATCATGCCTTTGCATCCTCTCTTAGCCCATTACTCCTGCTGCTCCCTGTGATTTACAGAGAGTTGAGGGAGTTGAAAGAGGGTCAGAAAACACCTACAGGAGCACTTGAAGAAACCAAAAGCGAGCTTGACCAAACACAAACTAAGGTCACTATTAAGATTTATCTCATGATTGCAGGAGCAGAGAAGTGTAGGATAAAATCGCTTGGATTCATTCCCAATTGAATACCAAGCATGGTGCAAGTCCTATGGAGATGCCCGGAGAATGGACTTACCCAGTTATCTGGGAAGGGTTTGATTCTGTAGGACCTGAGAAAATGGATGGGATCATCTGGAATGTAAATGCCATCACCTATACATTAATTCCATACCCCTACTGGCTGGTAAGACTGCCCAGGAAATAGATGGTGAATTCATCCATGTTGGCAGGAGTGTTCCTGGATCTTTTTAAAGATTCTCTTCAAGAAGCCATGTTACTATACAATTATGGACAATTTTTGTCCAATCTTCAACCTCCCCTTTTTAGGGAAGATGGTTGAGAAGACAGTAGTCTTACAGAGGAAATGTATTGTCTGGATTCTCTTCAGTTAAGTTTCAGGCTCAGTTATGGGACTGAACTGGTAGTGGTTACACTCATAAGATGATCTCTGGTGGGAGCAGAATGGAGGTTGTGCATCCATCCTTACTCATTTTGACCTCTTGGTGAATTCTGATACCATTGACCATGCTATCTTTTTAGGCTGATTTAGTGAGTTGGGGATGGGTGGCACAGTTATGTGCTGGTTCACCTCCCTTCCTCCAAAGTCGGTCCCGATCAGTCTTGACAAACAGCCCCATAATGTCACTTACCATTAATACAGTCTTGGAGGAATCCCCAGGATACCAGAGACTGAAGACTACCAAAGTGCCCAAAAAACAGAAGAAGGTGACAGTGGCAATATTTCGTACATCTAGAATGGATTCTACCAATGGGATGGTGCCCATTGTCCAGTCACAACACAATTCAGAAGGATTTAAAAGCAGCCAAGCATTTACTGGAAGGAGGTAACTGAAAGTCAGCTGCCTCACAGGAGATGGACTTACAGCAGCTGGGTTATCAAACCTAGAAAGAGAAAGTTGAGGTGAGATGCAGCCATATGACATGGCACATAACAGGAGACATGTTAAATTTCTGGACTAGATCCAGGATCAAGTGAAAAAAGTATTCTGTGAAATGGATGATCTAAAGAGAGAGGTTGGAGAGAAAATTTTGATATTTTTTTTCCAATTCCCTCCTCCTTCCTCTATAATAATGCTGAAGGCAGAAGGCTCATTCAAAACAGTGTGCAAAATGGGACAGTAGAAATGGTGAAAATTGTGGCACAAACCTATCTGGACTCATATGCTCTTTGCCAAGGGAAGGAGTCCTTCCATTCATGAAGGGTCAAGCCTTAGTTAGAATTCTTGCAAAGCTGCCTTGACCTTTCATTAAACCAAGGAAAACAATAATTTATGCATTTCTGTAATTTAACAGATACAAGCTGAGGTCCAAAACAAACAAATTAACCAGTTAATATGTTTAAACTGGGTTAGACAACTTCTTAAAAGGTGGTGCAAGCAGAACCTTACTGGGTTCATGATTCATGTATCATGTACAAGCCCTGAACAAATTGGGAGGTCAGGATGCCCAGCAGATGGCTTTGCTGCTACAGACATAATTAACTGCTGGGATCACTAAGGAACTTCTATTGCATATACTCTGGACTGCAAAGTGCTATCCTGTAGTCATGCTTGTAATATTTTATGAGAAATATGTTAAAAAGCTCTCTTTTCTGCCAAGCCTTGTTTACAGAAATGTTTCTGCTTTTTGTTTCTGCTTTTTCTCCTCACTCCTTCTTACTGTAAACGGTTTTTACATTTATTGCTTTACTGTATAGTTTATATGTTATAAACTGCTTTGAGATGCTTTTATGTAGTAAATAGTATAAATTGTATTAAATAAAACCACCACATTAGTGGACTATAGGGTATATTTAAGTCCACTCAAAAATTATGCAAATAAATACTCAGGATAGGGATAGCAATTAACTCAAAAGCCAGCAACTGCTTGGCTGAAAGCCAGCAAGTGCAGAGCAAAGAATCCATTAAAATATGGAAAAGGGACCAAGGTATAAACTGTTAAGAATATAAGAAAGAAGAATAGTTAGGTTGACAGAGAAGCCTCAATTGTTTAATACAATTTCAGTCTATTCTGCAGTAGACATTCTTATCTAACTACAGCACGTCAAAGGTCTGAGAACCTCTGCTTCAAACCTGCCATCCAAATTAAGCTGTGAATAGTTGACATCTGAAGATCTACAACTGAATCCTGGATCAGAAACATGACAGAAGAGGGCTGCATGCATGCACCCTATCTTTTGCAGATGAGCAAACCTGAGACTAGCAATGTATACTTTACCCAATTTCAATCCCTATACTTACAAGGTAATCCCTGAGTAGGCTTTTGAGTTTGTTGAAACAATAAACAAAACAAAAGAGCAAAGAATGGTTAATGCATAAGTAAGATAAAATATATATCCTGAGTGTGAAGGAGTAGAAATACTTATTCAAACAGAATATTTATCTACTTTTCCCCAAGTTCCTTCTCTATTACAAATAGTGGAATTTACCTTGTAAACACCGGTAACTGGGATTGAATAATTTGGACTCTGATCACAACAAGTAGTAGGGTACTGAACATCAGAACTATCAGTTTCAATAGCATTTGAAGCATACAGTAGGGAATGCTGCCTTTGCCTTGAAGAATTTGTAACACTGTATACCAAAGAACTGGCAAAGTATACTGGACAGGGAAATAAGAACATAAACAATATTCAAATGAATCTTCTGACACCATGTATCACACAAGCAAACTTCTTCAATATGATGCAAGCCAAGTGTGCAGGTCTACAACACCCCAAATTCCCAAACAAGGTAGCAGTAATTCTGGGGACTTCATTCAACGGAAACTCACCAAATGGAAAAAAGAACCTTCAAACAGGATTCAAAAGCCTTTCTGCCCCCTTTATTTCAAAGGAAAATCTTTAAACAAACTTTTTTCATGATTAATGTGACCAAATGTATTTAAATTTTATTCACTGATCATACTGAGTTCTGTCATACATCAAAATATTTTTCAATTCAATAAGCTATTAATGTTATATTAACTGCCAATACATTTAACATAAATCCAATGTTTAGTGCATTTCAAGTACCCGTTAACACAACAATGGCTGTTATGCATACTAGGATGCTTAGGTCAAGCCATACTCTTCACATATCTTGTCTCGTAGGAAATAATTCATGTCAGCTCCTAGATTTAGAACAGCCCTAAAAAGTGGGTTATTATATTATGACTAATTGTACCAGAGCCTCCTCTGAGGTTTGCTTGTTCTGTACTGATCCATTTCTTTTTCACTGGCTTGGTTATCATGGAATGGCCTCCATCTTAAAAAAATATTATTTATAGGGTTGATGTTGTCAGAAGCCTCTTCAATGTTTCTTTTCAGGGCTCTGCCATTCTAGTGAGGGGGAGGTTTTTCTCTGCTGGGAGGGGGGCTTGTGACTGTACTTTCTCTACTTTGTTCTTCCTCAACTTTGATGTATCTTTTTGGGTGTGAAAAGGGGAATGGAATGTGCCAGGGGCCAGGAGCCATCTGCCTTATCTCCAGTCTGCTGCGAGATCCAGTGAAGCGCCTGGGAACCATCCCTTATCAGCTCCAGTTCCCATAACAACTTTGTACCTGTGGATTGGCTGGATGCGAACTGGACAGTTGGGCTCTGGGATGGGGTTTTGTGAAATGAAAGTTTTAATGTAGCAATTCGCACGGGAAAACTTTAGATCTTGCTTTGCTCTCTTGCTATCACTATCTCTCAATAATTTTGAAACAATGCCTATTTCAAGAGTTCTGCTTTCTTGGGAGGAATAATCGAGGCAGGATCTTACATTAAGCAAGATCTGCAAAAAGGACAAGCCAGAGAGGCAACTACCCTACTGTGAGGACCTTGCATCATGTCCCTCCATGGCAGTGAACAAGACAAGACCGAGTGCCGGAGAGAGTCCGCTGCAAAGACCCACCAAAAGAAAGCTCCTCCGAATGGATGGAAGAAATGGTAAATGAAGAAAGCTCCACGAAGCCAAGATGGTCAGTTGGAGTAGGGAAGAGAGAAGAGTGGAAAGATAAAGCTCAGCGAGTAACATTCACCTGAGGCAGGTGGAAGAAGGGCTGGAAGTGGGAGATGGAGCTGCTTTCCAATGATAGGGACAAATCCGAAGGAGAGCAGGAGTCGATTAATCAGATCTTGAAACAAGCCATGCAACACATGGTGAAAGCCTTTCAGGACCTAAAGTCAAAATCCAAATGACACAGGAGCAAAAGGAAGGATCAACTGGAAGAAACCAAATGTGGGAGGAGTCGGGAGCGACCAAAGCCACGGCGGGGGCAACTGGATCTATGGAAATGGTGGCAGCCACCCCAGTGGCATAGCAGCCTGTAGCTCCCGGAGGGAGGAATGCTCCACCAGCCCCTAGAGGGAGAGTCCTACCGGACGAATAAAAACTGGTACCCCTAGGGGTGATATTTGATGGAGACCCCCAGCAATTGGGCTTCTTCCTGGCTCACGCATTCATCTACATGCAAGTGTATGAGAGAACCCTCCCCAGTAGAAAGCCAGAGTCAGGGTCATCACCCTAGCCCTGGAAGGAACTGCAGCCCGATGGATGGTTACCCTGCACAAAGTGCAACATGCCAGAGCTCTGAAACTTTAACCACTTCATGACCGCACTGAGACAGAGTGGCTGATCAGAAGGCACGGGATCGAATCAAGACTGTGAGGCAGGGACATCAACCGATAGCTGAGCTCACAGAGGAGTTCCAAGACCTGGCATGCCACCTTAACTGGCCTTAAGACATCTTAATCAGCTGTTTCCAGGATGGGCTGAATGATGATCTGTACAATGCATGCATGGGTAGGGATGCCCCGTTCCATTACATGACTGGTGCTTCCTGGCCGAAGAGGTAGAGATCGACCAGCACAACCCGTACCGCTCTGGGAAAATGTGAAATGGCCCCGCAGGAGAAACAGCAAAAAACCTTGGCTGTGCCCTCTGGCTTGACAACCTGCTTCAAGTGTGGCAAAGAGGGTCATCATGCTATGGAATGCCGCAGCAAAACTCTGTTCAAAAGAGGTGATCGGCAATCTGGAGAAAAGCTGACTAAGACCAGCTAACGTTAGAAGACATGGCCTTGAGAAGCGCGGAGGTTGTAGAGTTCCGTCCCACCCCAAAATCAGGGGGCGGAACTCCGACTCCACCAGAAGATGAACCCAGGATGCCAGAAAGTGACTATAATGACTCGTTGGTAAGTAACCGATCACATTGATGACTATGCCCATAGAACTATTAATTCCGGGCAGAGAAGGAAAAGTAACTTTGACTGGAGAGAGGGACGATTGAAATTCCCCAGAGAAAAAAAAACCTTACCAAGCAAACGAATCCACTTGGGAAGGGAACAGATCAGGGAGATAGAAGCCATTTGAGTCGCAAGGCCATGCAAACCATACCCAGGAGCTACCGGGATCTGGCTGAGATTTTCAGTGAAAGGGGTTTGGACGAACTGGCCCCCCACAGGCCCACAGACTGTGCTATTGAGATCATTCTTGGGGCAAAGTTACTAAAACCAAAGCTATATTTGATGACACTCAGGGAATTGAGCAAACTATGTAGGTTCATCGACAAAAACCTGGCCCGTGGATTAATACAGCCAGCCAGACCCCGGGTGGCTGCACTGGTGTTGTTCAGAGAGAAGAAAGAAGGGTCTCTTTGTCTCTGTGTTGACTATAGAGGTCTGAATGCTGTATGTGTAGGAAATGTGTACCCTCTGCCTCTCATGAAAAATATACTATCCCACCTATTGAAAGGAAACATATTTTCTAAATTGGACCTGCGGGAGGCGTATTATAGAGTTAGGATCAAGGAAGGGGACAAACGGAGAACCGCTTTCAACTTCCCCCTCAGTTGTTTTCAATTTAGAGTGCTCCCTTTTGGTCTGTTAGGGGTCTCAGCCATATTTATGCAGCTGATCAATGAGATGCTCCATGAGCATCTGTATAAGAGAGTTTTGGTGTACCTGGTGATATATTAATTTACACCAAAATGAAGACGGAACATGTGAAGTTGGTTCGAGTGATTCTAAATAAACTCCATGTGGCTAAAATCTATATGAAATTGTCAAAGTGTGAATTCTATAAGGAGAAAATCAATTACCTAGGCTACAGGATTTCGCACAATGGGATGGAAAAGGACCCAGAAAAAGCATCTGCTGTCTTAGATTGGGTGGCTCCCCACACTAGAAAGCAACTACAAAGCTTCCTGGGCGTAGCCATCTCCTGAAGAAGACTATGGAATGTCAAATGGTATTTGAAAAATTAAAAAGATTTTTCTTGGCAGAGCCAATTCTGAAGCACCCAGACCCAGAAAAGGCATTCATAATTCAGCGGTGTTACTCCAAGAGAATGAAAAGGGAAAACTGCAGCCCTGTGCTTACACCTCCAAAGAGTTACCAGAGACTGAATAACATTGGCCAGTTTGGGAGAAGGAAGCTTATGCAGTACGCTGGGTCCTCCTGACCTGGAGATACTTTCTGGAAGGACACAAGATTCCTTTCCAAGTATGGACTGATCACAAAAATTTTGAAGCTCTAAAGACACCTAGGAAGTTGTCCCCCAAACAAGCGTGGTGGGCCCAACACTTCCACTGGTTCAATTTTACTCTCCATTACTTGCCTGGGGGGGGGGGAAGAAAAGAATTACTTAGCTGATGCCCTATCTAGAATGCCGCAATAATAACAGCACCAAAGCAGAAGTAGTCAAACCTCTATTACCAACCCAGCAATTGGCAGCACCAGTCGTTACAAGATCACAGAAGAGAACCCTCACCCAACTGAATGGCGCTGCCTCAATAGTGTTCAAGCAGGCTCTAGAGACAGAGGAATGGTTCTTAGAGCACAAGAATCTCTGCTCAATGCAGGATGGACTGGCGTGGATGGGAGGAAAACTGTATGTCCTAGCTATGCAAAGACTAAAAACTACGCAGGCCTCCCATGACTCAAAACTGCCAGGACACTTTGGGTTTGTGAAAACCTTTCATCTAGTAAAGAGGTAGTTCTGGTGGCCATCATTGAAAAAGGACATTGGAAGTTATGTAGCCAGCTGCCCCATCTGCACTGCAGCGAAACAGAGGGAAGGACAAATGCCTGGCTTTTTACAGCTGGTGGTGAGCCCTTTTTACAGCTGGTGGTGATCTGAGAGAGATCTTCATGGACTTTATTGTGGAACTTCCAGACAGTGCAAGGGAAACAGTTATTTGGGTTGTGACTAATTTATTCTCAGAGCAGGTCCATTTCATCTCATGCCAGAAGATCCCAACCACCAGAACCTTAGCTAAAATGTTCCTCCAACATACCTACCGATTACATGGAGCTGCCCAATGCATAATTTCAGACAGAGGTGTCCAATTTACTTCCAAGTTCTGGAAGGCCTTTTTGGACCTTTTGGGCACAGAACAAGACTTGAGTTCTAGTCATCATCCTCAAATGAATGAGAGGACAGAATGACAAAACTCAGTTCTAGAACAATATCTTAGTTGTTTCATCAACTATCAACAGGACAATTGGACCGATCTCCCACCATTTGCTTAAGTGGCATATAACAATGCTATCCATTCTAGTACTGGATACACTCCCTTTCAAGTAGCTACAGGGCAGATGTTTAAACCAATGCTGGAACTGTCTACTAATGAACCCACCATGCCTTCCCTTAAGGAATGGATGAAGCAGCTACAAAACACATGGCCAATAGTAAGGAAAGCTTTGGATGAAGCTAGGGATGGCTACAAAACTCAAGCAGATTAAAAAAAAGAATAGACCCCTAACCTTTCCACATTGGGGACAGGATTTACCTATCCACTAGGTCCCTGCAGTCACTTCAACCTTCAAAGAAGCCAGGTCCTAGTTTGTAGGGCCCTTTCCCATCAAACGTATTATAAACCCTGCCACTGTAGAGTTAGAACTCCCCAAACCCTTAAGACAAATCCACCCTGTGTTCCATTGTAATTTACTAATACCAGAGATAACTTCGCTTTTAAGGTCAAAAGTTCCTCCTGCACCACAACTTATTATGATTGAGGGGGAGCAACATTTTGAAATCAAAGAGATCCTACATTCCCATACACACTGTGGGGCTGTCTAATATCTGGTGGCTTGGAAAGACCTTCCAGCCTCCCAAAATGAGTGGGTACATAACATATTAGAGCCCCTAGATTACTCAAAGATTTCAATGCTCATTACCCAGATAAACCTGATTAACCTATTGTTCTCTTTTTCCTGCCTAAATGATTTTTGTTTCTACAGATGAACTTCTCTTTCTTTTAAGGGAGGCAATATGTCAGAATCCCCTTCAATGTTTCTTTTCGGGGCTCTGCAATTCTAGTGGGAGGGAGGATGTTTTTCTCTGCTGGGAGGGAAGCTTGTGGCTGTACTTCCTCTACTTTGTTCTTCCTCAACTTTGATGTATCTCTTTGCATGTGAAAAGGGACATGGAATGTGCCAGGGGCCATCTGCCTTATCTCCAGTCCATTGTGAGATCTGGTGAGGCGCCTGGGAACCGTCCCTTATCAGCTCTGGTTCCCATAACAACTTCGCACCTATGGATTGGCTGGACATAAACTGTGAAATAAAAGTTTTAATGTAGCAATTCATCGGGAAAACTTTAGATCTTGCTTTGCTCTCTTGGTATTGCTATCTTTCAATAAAAGTTCCTTTTGAAACAATGTGTTTCAAAAGTTCTGCTTTCTTGGGATGAAAAGTTGAGGCAGGACCTTACAGATGTAGTTATACCAGGAGTAATGGGGTACAGGGGAAATAATTTTAATAGATAAGAACTGGGAGGTCTCTATATTACTTTGTTAGTAATTCAATAATAGGAACAGAGTTTTCATTTTGTACTTTTAGCTTTGGACAAAACCTATTGGCACATGAGATGTCATTGGTATCTTGCATTTGCACATGCTTTGGGACTCAAGTGAGGTATGATCTAGTCTAATGTTTCAAACTTGACAATTTTAAGATGTGTGGATTTCAACTCCTAGAATTCCCCACCCAGCACGTTGACTTGGAACTCTGAGGGTTGAAGTCCACACATCTTGAAGTTGACAAGTTTAAAAAACCCTGATCTAGTCAGTCTGGAATACATTCAAGTGTCCTCCTTTAGCACAAGAGCTCCCAGATAATCTTTATGGTACTATTCTGCAATATAAATGTTGGGACTAAATTATTCATCTAGATATATTTATTAAACCTAATAAGTGCTCCTGTGAATGGAGTGTGGTATCACCAACTTGAATAAACACATCTAAAGGGAATCATTCAAATTCCATAGCCAAGTGTCTCCAAGTGACAAATTTTAATTTCAGATTTGAAATTGAATCAAATAAATTCCTTACCCCTTGAGCAATAAATACTTCATAGACACAGCATATCCCCACCACTGTTACTCCTTGTTCCTTACATAATGTAGCAACAGCCACCAAAAAAACTGTTGCTGCAATAGGAGTCCATACTGCAATGTAAAATACAAAAAAAGTTAGTCTTCATGAAACTGGGAAAAGCAACATTGCAATTCAAATGTCAGCCTGCAAATATTTTCTCACTCTCTGAATACTGAATGTACATTGTCTTGCCAGATGGTTTGTTGAAGCCTGACCACATTTTATAGCTATTTAGGAATAGAACTACCATCTTATACTGTAACAGTCATTTGTAGATGCCATGCCAAGGTATAGCTCTCTAATCTGGTGCCTTCCAGAGGCCTTGCCACAACTTCCAAAATCCTTATCACCTTTGCTCTCATTTCTTTAAATTAGGCTTAGGTGACCTTTTACAGATGTGGGCTTTCCTTAAAAATATTTTTTATTGTGAGACATGTAGTGGCAGAGTTGCAGTAAGGAGTGATTGATTCCAGTGCTAAGGGTATGATTAGACATATCTCTCTCTGGCACCTCATATGCTTTCATTTTAATATATGCTTCACTCTTATCCATAAAACATGAGAAAAGGAAGGGATAGATCTGAACTGACTTGTTACACAGTGATTTGAAATCACACAAACCACTGCAGCTTCCCAGTCCTACATTGAGGGTGGGGTGGGGAGGATGAATTATTGAGCACTCATTGTTTGCTTTACCTATTGTGTTTTCTGGCCCTCTGGATCTGGTATAGGACAGAAAAGCAGCTAGAAAAAAGATTGAAGAGAGAAGCTCTGCTCTGCCCACCACACCAGTTACCTAAATAAAAGATATAGCAATAGAAATAATTTAAACAAAATGAGATAAAGTATTAAAGTAATGGATAATTTATATATGTATGTATGTATGTATGTATGTATGTATGTATGTATGTATGTATATGTATATGTATATATGTATATGTATATATGTATATATATACGTGTGTGTGTATATATATATGTATGTATGTATGTATGTATGTATGTATGTATGTATGTATGTATGTATGTATATATATATATATATATATATATATATATATATATATATATATATATACTTGTATTGGAGTTCTGACCTTCCATTGTTTTGAAGTATGCAAGGAGAGAATTAGACTGCCATCATGTGGCTAAACAAGGAAGTGTCCATATTCTAAATTAGCATAAATAAAACAAAGACACTGTGGTTAAGCCCAACTCCTGTTGACTTACATTAACACATCCAGTTGCCCTTGCCTTTTTCCAGGGTGCTTTTCCAACTCTCAGCCCTCATCCCCAGATTAATCAGGGCTGACTTATCCCAAAGGAGATTTTTCACAAGGCAACTGGACTTTCTTGTTTTTCTTTGATGACAATTCATTTCTCATCCAAGAAGCTTCTTCAACTCTGACTGAATGGTGGGAAATGGAAGGATTTATACTTCTTGCAGACAGCTGGTCATTTGCATTCTTTTAGAGAGTCATTGAGGCTACCTGGAGGTATATCTGTGTTGTCTGGGTCATCTGAGTAATGCAAATGGGTGTACAGCCTTCTTGGAACTGTTGAAAGGACTGTGTTGTTAGACTGGAGATAGATATTGTCAGATCCCTCGCCCTCTGTTGAGAGAGGGCTGTTCAGTTTTGATATAGATGGCCTTTTTGACCCCTCTTTCAAACCAGTGGTCCTCTCTGTCCAAAATGTGGACTTAACTGTCTTCAAAAGAGTGCCCTTTGTCTTTTAAATCCAGATGGACTGCTGAATCTTGCCCTGATGGGTTTGTTCTCCTATGTTGTGCCATATGTTTATGAAGTTGTTGTTTTGTTCCCCAAATGTATACAACTGCACATAGCTGACTCCAGGATTTATATTTATCAAATGTCTGCAAGGAATATAAACCATTCCCCACCATCCAGTCAGAGCTGAAGAAGCTTCTTGGATGAGAAGCGAAACTTCTTCAAGACAAACAAGAAAGTCCAATTGCCTCGTGAAAAAGCACCTTTGGGATAACTATGACCTGGATGACTGAGACTCTCCATAGAAAGGGCTGATTTGCTTGGCTTTAACTTGCAGAACTTAGGAAGAAAACAAGTTGCCATATCAGAGATGTTTTATTTTTAGTCAGAAATGAATCTTGAGGAAAAATGTGCATTATCCCAAACAAATGTGACTTAGAATAAACTTTTCTTTCTTTCTTTCTTTCTTTCTTTCTTTCTTTCTTTCTTTCTTTCTTTCTTTTCTTTTTCTTCCTTCCTTCCTTCCTTCCTTCCCTCTCTCTCTCTCTCTCTCTCTCTCTCTCTCTCTCTTTCTTTTTTTTTCTTTCTTTGACATAATTGGATAGGTGGGAAAGAGAAAATAGAGTAGGAAGTGACTGGCTCATTCAGAGACCAATAATGAAGGAAAGTGTTGATTGTTTGGTCAATATGTACTTAGAAAATGGCAGTTTACTCCCTAAAGCGCACTTCAAATGCATTAACACAACCATGTGGTACCACACCTGGAAGTAAAGGATAGGTTTTCTATGACTATTTAAGAACTCTCCAGAGTTTGAACTACCAAGATTTTTAAATTTACTTACGGCTTCAGTATGTATGGGATGTACTGCAAATAGTAAAGATGCAACCAAACTGCTTTTGCTGTCTAAAAAAAGCTTACAGACTTTGAGGAAGATGATGCAAACAATTGCATGGAAGATGATATTCAGGAAGTGGTAAGAAATAGCATTTAATTCACTGAACAGATAGTTTAAACGAAATGTGAAGACGGTGAACGGTCGATACGACTTGTGACTTCTCTCCTAAAAGACAAGCAAAAGAAATAAACAACATCACATAGATAAAAAGGAATGAAAGCTATTGGTAAAATGGAAAATTCTAAAAAAATTTTTAGAAGCCTAAACAAATAGTATATAAGTCTTGTTTGTTAAAATATGTGATAGGGGGTTTAGGGTAAAATATGGATAGGTACAATCACATATTTTAACAAACAAGCTACTGTTCGGATCATAATAAGTAAATCTCATACTCAATCATTTTTAAAATATGCTTAACTATAGCTATATTACTAAAAATTAATAAACAAATAAATTCATCTATTTAAATAAACATGAATAACAAAATCTCAACAAGTCGTAACTATCAACATTAACAAATAAAAATCACTAAATCACTAAAAATAAAAATGTTGTCAACCTATTACCGTATATGCCGGCGTATAAGCCGACTTCCGCAAGCGCTAAAATCGGCACCAAAGACGGGGGTCGTCTTATACGCCGAGTCGTCTTGTATGCCGGCATATAAGGTAATTAAAACTCGGTTAAAAATCAATCATCTATTCTAAAATATTAAGTCCTTTTCAGATTCTAACGTGTCTCTAACCATTGATAAAATTTTTCGCAAGTTATAAAATAAACAGTCATCTTTTTTTTTCATCTCCAATGTTAATCTATCCATTTCTGTACATTCTAAGATTTTAGTAATTGTAGCCTGGTCAGATGGTAGATTCTCATTTTTCCAAAATTGGGCAAATACTATCCTTGCAGCTATTAAAACATGCAGTATCAAATAATAATTTTCTTTACCATAATTAGGTCTTAATATTCCTAACAAAAACAATTCCGGTTTAAATTCTATCTGCATTTTCATCATCTTTTCCAACCATCTATGAATCTTAGACCAGTATTTCTTAGCATTAGGGCATATCCACCAGGCATGGTAATAAGTGCCTGGCTATTGTTTACATTTCCAACAAGTATCCAAAACATTTTTAAACATTTTCGCTAAGTGAACTGGTGCCATATGCCATCTGTAAAACATCATATATAAATTTTCTTTATATGCTACCGCTTTTCTAAGCTTAATATTTTTATCCCAAAGTTTTTGCCAGTCTTCCAAATCTATAGAGTATCCAAAGTTCTTTGCCCATACTATCATTGTTTCTTTCACTTGTTCTTCTTCCATCTTCCAATTTAAAAGAAATTTATAGTTTCTTAATCAAATTCTCATCTGTTTTTAACAAAATTTTGTCTAATGGAATCTGTTCTTTATAAAATCCTGTTGATTTTATCTTTTTTGTATCTTGTTTGAATTTGCAGATAGGACCACCATGTCAAGTCAATACCTTGTTGGTGAAGAGTTTGCCCATCCTTAAGTTTTCCCTCTTTGTCCAAAATATCTTTATAACTAACCAGTTTATCATAGTTAATCAGGTTTGGATAAGCAAATGCTTCCATTGTTGAAAGCCACTCAGGTATTTTCATATATATTTTATGTTTAATTTTCTCCCATTCTGAAAGTAATACATTTCTTATCGCATGATTTTGAAAATATTTATGTGCTTTAGTTTTCTCATACCATATAAAAGCATGCCAACCTAGTTGAAGATCATGTCCCTCTAAATAAAGCAATCTTTTTTTTCTCAATAAGTCTTTAATATCTTTATGATCAAGATTTGTATCCTGGTCATCCTATATGCTGTAAAATAAAATTAATAGAAAATAAAATATCTATTTTTTGTAAAATATCACTGAAGGCTGAAACGAAAATTTTGAAGTGCAAAGTAGGTCTATGCATTGGTTCAATACTTTATAAAAATGCTTTAAGTGTCTTGTAGATACTATTACCTCAGACATGGGTGTTCCCCAGAAGTCATTCAAAAAAAGATTTTTAATTGGAGCTGAAGGATGCAAATCTTTATTGTCCAAAATGGCAGAAACATCATCAAAAACAAAGCCACAAAATAGACTGTTCCAGTAGCAAGCAGCCACTACTCCAAATATTAGTGCAAATTCCTTTGGGCTAACATAAGCCATCTTCTCCAGAACACAAACAAACTATCTGTAAAACAAATTTTTAAACATCTGCTTCCATCAACATAAATATACACAGTGAAGATTACCTGAAAAACAGAAGATTACTGCTTATCTATATAAGTAAATAAAACTCTTTTCACAAAAAATGGACAAGTTTTAGCATAACAGCTGTAGCTTTATATCCTAGCAATACTGCTTGCTAGTTTCACTAGCTTGCACACAGATTTCAAAAAGTGCTAACATCTGGTATTTTGCTAATTATGGTTTTGGAAAAAATAGTTCAAAAACTTGGGCTGGTTCATAACTGCTTAGAAGAGAATCGTCTATTCCAACAATATGTTCAGTAATGCTTTGGGAGAAAAAAGAAGGAAAGCTACTACCTTATACAAGCCTACACACTGAGCTTCACTTCTAAAGAGATATGCATGTGTTTGTGTTGTTAGTCTCAGGAATTATAATATGCTAATTCCTTCTCTTCCAATGATAAGAAAAGGAAGTTTTGACTTCAAAAGAAATAGTATGTTATCCTTAGGGACCAAATCACCTATTCTGAACTGAGTTACCTTTCTTTGAACTGAGATATCTTTCCCAAAAATACTAATTTCCTCCTTTAAGAGTTAATCCTCTTAAAATTAACTGTTTACCAGATTGCTGGCCACAGGTATGGGCACACAAATACATACAACACACTTCCTATATATTGGAATAAATAGCAAGGGGGAAAAGAGCATCAGGTGATTATAGATAAAAAATTTAAATCAGATATATTACTTATTGATCAGAAAGTAACATATAGACTTCCGGTTCCGGTACGCGGCGACGCCGGTCACGTCTGGAGACTTGTCTCCAGTCTGGCTGGGTTTTCTGCATCGGTAGACCCCTTAGGGGGTCGAAAGTCACCCTGCAGGGGCGACCACCAAGAAGGAGGCTTGCTGGTGACTTCGGGAGAGCGGCAGCTTCTCCTGTGGCTCCAGCTATTTCCTTAGGGCTGATGGAGCAATGATCATCCTGCAAGATGGCTGATTATCCTGCTGTACCAGCCGAAGTCACAATTACAGCTAAGCGTAATTAGACAACCGCGGAGGTTTCGGGTGAGACCCTTTTTGACCCTCTCTTTTCCTTATTTTGGATTTTTTTACTACCTGTAAAAACTTGGTTGGAATTATTTCCCCGTTTGGAAAAAGCAGCTTCTGAGAACAAAGAATCTTTAAAGACTACATTTTATTTTTATTTATTCTGGGATACAGAAAAAAAAAACACGCTTTTTCAAATTGTATTAGTAGTTAATATTGGAAGATTATTTCTTCCTCCACTCTTTCCTTTAAAAGATAAAAAAAGGGGGGAAAATGGTGTCTGGAAAAGTTTTTTTATCTACTGAGGACATCTAGTGATGAAAAATTAATATTGTGAAAGATATATTATGGTTTGGAGAAGATGGATTGATTATATTCAGAAGAAATATGAAGTTGAAAAGTATTATCTTGCTTTTGAGTAGATTTTAGATAATTATTAATAGTTTTAATTATATTATTATTTTTGACTTAATTTGTTAATATTTGTATTGAGAAGGAGTTAAAGTGTCTTATGGTTTTGATTGATAGTATAGATGGTTTATGTTAGTTGGATTACATTTGTTTATTAGTTTGTTTTACCCTGTAATCAGCTCTGGGAAGTGGGGGATGGGGAGATGGGGTGGGGGGTTTATATTGTAAGAAATTTATAAAACTTTTAATAAAAAAAATTAATATTGCAACTGTGGAATAGTATTTGGAAAGAAGGAGCTGACCTTCAAACTATTCCTGGAAAAGATAACCTGATGCAGCTGTGAGAACTGAGGGGGTGGACACTGTTTAATTACAGCCTTCATTAAATAAAAAAAAATAAAGAAAAGATTTTCTTTATCCACTTTTAAAATGAAGAAACTTCACTCTTACTTAAATTGCAAGCTTATATTGGAAAAGATTTACGAAGAGATATGTGCTATAAGGAAAGGGATTATTACAGAACGAAGAGTCAACTCTACCCCAAACTATCAAACTGACTTTCAGATTACATCTGTTTATTCTACAAACCAAAACCTACCGGAAGAGGAATCAAGGGAGATTAAAGAGGAATTTGCTACAACGAAAGAGATTACTACAGAACTAAGAAACATAAATTCCTTCTTAAATCCTAAAAGTGACTTTCTGACTAATCTGACTATTCTACAAACCAAGATACACTAAAAGATGACCTCATGGAGGATACAGAGGAACTTATTTCACCTTACAAGCATCTTATCTATATTTTTGAGGATCAGAAAAAGCAAAGACTGAGATTTGAACCTTTAAAGCACCAAGGCTTCAAGAATAAGAGAAACAGAGGTCCATTGCAGAGGATAGGAGGCTTATTACTGCCTCAAATGGCATCACAAGCAACAAAGAGAGACCCATCGGTTGGAAGGGAAGCGTTGGTGTGGAAACCTGCTTGGTAGAAAAAGAAGCCCAGAATAAGACTGAAAATAGAAACTTAAAATTATATATACTGGATTTAAAGCATTTTAGAATTATGGACTAAGGATTAAGCTCTTGTGTTAGAAATAAGAAAAATGGGTGATTATTAGAATACATATCTATATAAATAAAAATGTAAATGTTCGTTTGTTCAAAATCTTAAATCTCTGAAAGTTCTTCACCGATTGCTTTGAAATTTTGACACAATGTTGCATTTGAATACGCGCATGTTTTTATATACCTACTATTATATAGATGTCACACCTGTGACAGGTAAAAACATGCTTTTTTTGAAAAAGAGTGCCACAGAATGAGCCACAGCAACGCGTGGCCGGGTACAGCTAGTATTAAATAAAGTAAGAATGTATGTTTTGGAATAATAGGTTTATATGTATGAAAATTATTATATAATGAAATGAAGAAAACTGAAGAGGTGTTCTAGATCGGGATTGAACTAATAATGAATTGAATATTATTTTAATAAGATGATGTGTTTTATCTGATAATATGGATGTTATTAGGTCTGATAACTAATTGGATGAAATTAGAACTTTGTTTAATGGACTTAAATGATTTAAAGTTGAGATTATTGTGTTAGCCTAAGAAACTGATTGATGGATGGATTAGATATGTATAGGATAGATTAATATTTTATTTTAACTGGGAGATAGTAGTGGAAGGAGGAATAAATAAGATTTATGATGAAATTAAAGAATTAGGATAGATTTGGAAGCGATACCTGAATTGATAATGTACTTATTTAAAGTTAAATTTGATTATGGTCTTGTAATTGCATAAAGTTGTAAAACAGGTTTAGGATTAATAGAAATTTAAGTTAGAAATAGACTATTTTAAATATATAAGCTATTTGAGGAAAATAGAGAGGGAATAGTTGATGTATTGATTAAGTACATATGTTTTGTTTTTGGATTTTTTTGATTACCCCAACACCACGGTATGTCTCGAGCACTTTGTATTAAAATTAAAAAATCAATAAAAATTGTTTAAAAAAGAAAGAAAGTAACATATAGAATTTGCAACGGAAATGTATCTCCTTTGAAAACATTTTACAGGTAATCCCCGAGTTACGAGCATTCACTTAATGCTCATTTGAAGTTACGCAACAAGCACTCCCTAGTGTTTACGAGCAAGTCCCAAAATCACGAATATTGCAGCACCACAGCAGTCATTCGTCCTTACGAATGACTGGGCTCTGCAACATTCCCCCTATTCCCCCTCACTCCCTACAACTGCTTCTCCCTCCCTTCCTGCCACGCCAGATATACTCACCTTGCAAAATTTGTCTCCTCTCTGCCACAGTTTCTTTCCCTTTGAGGGAGAGTCGGCTTGGAAATGATTTTTGCAATGACAATGAAAGCTCCTGGATGCCGTAATATCACACGAGTTCAAACACAAACACATCATGGCTCCCAAAAGCTTCCATTCTCGGGGGGGGGTTTGTTTGTTTTGTTTGCATGCCTATGGGGCAAAGCATGGAATTGGAGTCAGCCAGATGCAGAACCTAATGCTGTCTGTTGCCCGGGTGTGCTGCTCGCTCACGTGTACTGGCCTTAGTTTGAGGGCAGAAACGAAGTCTTCAACTGAGTGGAGAGGCATTGTGGAGCCAGGCCACTGCTTCTGCATCTAAGCAGCTATGATCCCTCTCCCCAATCAGCCACCCACCCCACCCAACCTACTCCTTATCTGACTGGCTGGCTGGCACAAATCCTGACTACTCTTCTCCTTGTCAATGTCTCCACTCAAGCGGCAGCAGCGGCTTCAGTTTCTTGGCCCCATCTGAGTGGAAGAATGCCGAGATGCAGCAGCAGGATTGCTCTCAAGAAGACCCGGATGCACTGCTCACTCATGGACAGCCTTATTGAGAGCAATGCCTCTGCTGCGCCTCCGCTTTTTTCCACTCAGAGCTGAGAAACCCAAGCTGCTGGCGGCAGCAGCCACCTGAGCAGCCATGATCCCCTCTCCCCAGTCACTTACCCCACCCGAACTACATTGCCTGGTGAGCCGGCTGGCACAAATCCTGACTGCTCTTATCATCCTCGGCAATCAAGTGACGGCAGACAGAGATTGTAAGCTCCATGTGGCTGCCAATGCACACTTAGAAATGGAGCAAAAGGCTCGGTTTCTCAAGTGCAACATTCCAGGCCTACAGAGCTTGCAGTCTCTGTCAGGTTTCCATTTGGATAAAAAGTGTTTCAGAGCTTATGGAGCACTTCAAAACCCAGGGATTTGCTGCATTTTGAAGCACTCCATAGGCACTGAAACATTTTTTATCCGAATAGAAACCTGACAGAGACTGGAAGTTCCGCATGACTGCCAATGGGGTGCTTGAGAAACGGAGCATTTTGCTCCATTTCTAAGTGTGCATTTGCATGCAGACAGAGCTCCCCAAGATATCTGTTTTGGTGAAAATTGTTCCAGCAGTGGCAGAAAGAAGTTGGGGGCAGGAGCAAGAGATAAGTCATTGCAAACACTGCGAGAGTTCAGGCTCCTATTCTCTGCAAAACAGCATCGGTGCCTGAACTCGCATGATATTGTGGGCACCCAGGAGCTTCCATCGTCTCTCCTCTCCCTCAAAGGCAGAAACTGTGGCAGAAAGGAGACGGATCTTTTCAAGGTAAGTGAATCCGGCGTAGCAGGAAGGGAGGGGGAAAGCATGAAGTATTTTAGTGGGTCGGGGAGGCCATGGGGGTCCTATTCCATCACTATGGCCTTCCCCACCCTGAAATACCTCATGTTCACTTAATGAGCATGAGCATCTTAATGAGTAGGGAGAGATCTCATTCAAGATATGAGATTCATTCCCACGAATTCTCCAGTGACATTCATAACTCGAGGACTACCTGTATTGTGAAAGATACTATATTAATCTACCAATATAATAATAATACTTTAACTTCTTAGATTTCAGTACTTTTCATCTAAGTACCATAGCATAAGTATTTTTGTAAAGTTTATAGATCCTATTAAACAGATTAAAAACTTTAAGTTGACTTATTAAAACATAAGTAAGACTGTTTACTATGGATGGACCTTTCAGACCATATAAATCTTTAATCTACTAGTAAGTGCTGATATCTTGGCATCCACTGAACTATAGCAACTGTTGATATTCTTTCTGGATGTAGTATCGAAATCAAAATCCTTAGATTATCCAGTGAATCAGCAATTGCTGAAAATATATGGGCACTTGGAACTAGTTATACTGATTGTAACCAAATAAAATACAATAGCTCTTCACATGAAAAAATATTAGTAGACAAATATATCTTACCAGAGGATCGTTTACTTAAAAGTGAAAAATTATCATATTAGTCTGAACATGCTTCTTATGATAGAACCTTAGCTAGGAGGTAATCACTTATATAAAATTATATAAACTCAGTCTCCAAAGAAAGGTGAGAATTATGGTCTTAAATTTATTACCTGATTATTCTATCTTGCAATAACAGAATATCAAAATGTACATTTTCTTTTGCAGAATGAGATCAATCACCATTATAAAAATAAAGTTTTCAAAAGGATTGTACAAACATTTGATTTTATCAGTAATCTTTATTTAACATTTTGATTCAATCTGCTCACCAAGATTTTTATGCCTGAATTAAAATAATAATGCACAATGGAAAAAAATTCAATCATGCATTTTATCTTAGAATTAAGCAATGATTAAAGAAGAATTAGGGATGAGTATCCAAAAATCAACATTTTTATATTTACCTTATCAATCAAGCATAATATTTTTTTCATTTATGCATTTTCTTCATGAGGAGCCATTTCTAAAATCTTTTTTCCAATCTATAGTATTGTAAGTGATCTGTTACAGTGTTTATGGATCTTTACTAGAACAAAGAAAAAGGAAAATAAGACCAGTCTTAGGAAATATATTGAGATCAATTTCATTTAAGCCACCATAACTCAGTTATCTTAAACTGTTGGAAGTACAGAATATACACACTCTTAAGCTATGCAAAATATTGCATGACAACATTAAGATTATCCAAGAAAATAAACTGAGCAATACTTGTGTTTAAGCCAGTTCTAATATTAATACTGCCATTTAGTGACTTCAATTGATTCCCGTAAAATGGCCACAGAGAAACATAGTTGCTAAGTAAACCATGAGACACTGCATGTATTGAGATAGATACATAGAGGGAGATGCTGAGAAGATCACTAGTTGCTGCAGTCTCAGTCAGATAAAGATCTCTCATACAGTCTCCTATGCCTGACCCCCTTTTCCCATTTTTTGCCCCCTCATAGAGGAAAGTGATTATTTAAACAAGCTATCTCTTATTGAGTTGTTTTCTCCCCAGCTCAGCCTCTCCTAACCACAAGTTAACAAGCTCAACTGTGACCTTAATTAGTTGATTAGAACCCTCCTTCTGGATGGCTCCCTGTAGCTGATCAGATCTTAAGCCAATCTCACCCTTATTGCTAACTGGAAGAGACTGGTCCAGTTCAAATATAAGAGTATCAGATTTTCATCAGAAGCTCAGTGTGAAGCAACCTTGGACATATACTAAGAATGGCTTCCTTACTGTTTCTACCGTCTACAAAACTTATTGTTAAGCCTAGAAGATGATTTTCTGCCTATCTCTGCGTAAAGTGATGCAGTAATCATCCCTGGCAGTTTCTGCTACTTTGGAGGAGAAAGGTGGGGGTAAGCAGCATTGAATGAAAAAAATCTCATGTGCATACCCAAGTATCATATCTATCACTACCCGTTTCTCACATTCCTCTCCATTGCTTTATCCATCATTTAAAAATGACAAATTAATGACGTGATTTCAAAGAGCTTTGCCTTTAAAGAAAGAATGATTAGTGAAAGGGCTATGGTTTGCGACAGAGTATAAACTTTGTATGCGAAAGTCTCCCAAACTTTTCAGTGTCTGCATTTTCCAAGTAGTAGATGACATGGAAAACCTCTCCCTTGGAGCCATAAGAATATTGCCAAGTATAGTAAACAATAACGGATTAGCAGCAAGTCATGTTCCTATATAACTTGTGAACTATCAGATATATTCTAAGTGTGATTCACAGTGACCAGTTGGAAAAAAAAAACAGTATATAAGAATAAGAATAAATCTAAATGTCTTTTCCAAAGGGTCCAAATCACCTTGTGTATAAAAACCACAAAAAGTATAATTGAAAAACTAAGTTGTTCTTCATTTTTATTAGAAAAAGTAGGAATTTTATAAGAACCAACAGAAGCAACTTGGTTCAATTTACACATATAATTTGGCTTAAAACAATGAGCTTTTCTTGGTGCATATTTTTTAAACACAACCCAGATAGCTATACAAGACTCTTCATTATTATCTTTGCCCACTCACTGAGAGTATGTGTGCATGTGAATAGGCTATCTCTGCACAATGGAAAGGAAAAATGTAGGCAGATATACCTGGAAGGATAGAAGGTAAGGCAATATATATATACTAAGAAAAACAGAAAAAAAAATCCTCAGCTTAATTTCTTTTCTTTATTTAATTGTTCAGTAGAAAAAATCCATTTCCCATTAGGCATGCAGAAGAACTAATTTTTTTCCTGTCAAGAAACAAAACAGTTTTAGAATATAGAAAATACAAAAAGAAATCATGCAGGGTTATTATGTAGAGCAGTGGTTCTCAACCTGTGGGTCGCAACCCTTTTGGAGGTCGAACGATGCTTTCACAGGGGTCGCCTAAGACCATCGGAAAACACATATTTCCAATGGTCTTAGGAACTGAGACACTAGTGAGAATTTCTGCTCAAGGCTATTTCTGCTAACCAGCTCGGGCAAACAGGAAAGCAGCCACCTCAGCAGCATGGCAGGGCTGCGCTACCCATTGCAGAGCAGTTACTGCCGCGTTGCCATGGCTATGAATCTCCTGCTTGGCGTCTTTCAGGTCCTTGCCTGGCTTCCATCTGGGAGAAGCGCAGGGCCAAGGTAAAAAAAAAAAAAAAAGCCTGGCGAAATACTCCCGAGGGGTAGCGTCGATCTGTAGCGGGAGGTGAAGGGACGGTGGGTGGGAGGGGGTCGACCAGAAGGGAACTGAGTCTGATAAGGGCAAAAGTTGAGCAAGGTTTTCCCCCTCGCCCCTCTCTCCGCCTCTCTTTGTGCAGCGGTCTCTGGCTGCTGCCTTCCCAGTCGCCGAGAAAGGGAAAAAAAAGAGCCGTGAGCTCTTTCTGCCTTGCTTAAAGCTTTTTTTTTTAAACGACCACTCGTTCAGAACTCCTCGAGGCTTGTTTGCATGAGCTTGTGGCAGATCAGTAAAGGGGTGGGGGAGCCAAACCGTCCAAGGCGTTTGCACCCTGAACATGTGGATGCTGCTTTCATGACTTGCCACCACCGCCCCCTCTCTTTACGCCCTGCTCTGGCAATGCGCTGCTGCTGCTGGCTGAGCTGAGCTGCGGTGCCAAGCTGGTCCCCACGCCTGGTTGCCCGGCCACTCTCCGCCCCCAGCTGCTGTCCGTGCTGTGCTGGAGCCTTTCCCACGCCACCCGGCCCACCTCCCTCACCATCGGAGGCCGCCTCGGCCCTCTGGCGCCCAGTGCAGCCCTGGGACTGGTGGGCAGGAGCGGCTCCTTCCTGGCTCTCTGGGCCTTGGAAGCGGCCAGGCGGCAGTGATGCCCGCATGTGCGTCAAAGGCCAGCCAGCCGGGCGGGGAGAAGCGGCGCCTTCCGAGTGGGAGCTGGTGCTCCAGCCGCGCCCCTCTTACATGCGACGAATCAGGGAAGGGTTGTGGCGGTGAAGGGCTGCGCGGCGTGGAAAGGGGCTCCTGCGACCCCGCCACTGCGATGGCACTTAGGAAGCTGGAGGGGCGGGAAGGTCCTGGGGGGGCGGCTGGGGGGGCGGCTGGGAGAGGACAAGAGTGGGGAATGCTGGGAGTTGCAGTTCATCACCATCTGGAAAAACACGACTCTCCAAAGATCAATCAATCCTTCCTTCCTTCCATCCATCCATCCATCCATCCATCTCCTTCCCTTCCCCTTCAATCTCTCTCTCCTTCCTTCCTTCCATCCATCTCCTTCCCTTCCCCTTCAATCTCTCCTCCTTCCTTCCTTTCCCCTTCAATCTTCCTTCCTTCCCTTCCCCTTCAATCTCTCTCTCCTTCCTTCCTTCCCCCCTCAATCTCCTTCCTTCTCCATCTCCTTCCTTTCCCCTTCAATCTTCTTTCCTTCCTTCCTTCCTTCCTTCCTAACATGAACATCAAAAATCAAAATCTAACATTTATTAAAGGGGACAGGATACAAGTCCTATAACAAATAAAACCCTCTTCTAAATGGGCTTTCTGACAGCAAGTGTAGGATAATGTGATTATTCTTACCCTATTTTATGTAGTTTTCAAAAGGTTTTATCTGTCCTCCTGCCCACAAATCTTATCAATGCCATAGCATGGAAGAATACACATTAAATAGTTTCCTCACATGTAATGGTGTTTTTTTAAAGACAAGTTTTCTTGGTTTTTTGATTTTTAAAACAAAGTACTCAAGACACACCATGGTGTTAGGGTGGTTAAACATCCACAGACAAAACTTATATACATAATTCAATCAATACATCAAATATTCCCTCTCTTTTTCCCTTAAGTACCATATTTTATTTGAAATAATCCAATTCTAGCTTAAATTTATTCAACCTAAACCTGTTTTTAAAGCTTTATAAATTTACACTACCATAATCAAAATAATTTTAAGTACAAACATTATCAGTTCGGGTATCCCTTCCAAATATATTCTAATTCCTTAATTTTATCATAGATCTTGTTTATTTCTTCTTCCACTAACATCCCTTATTTAAAATAAAATATTAATCTATCCTATACATATCTAATCCATCCATCAATCAATCTCTTTAAACTGACAAAATAAAGTCCAACCTTAAGTCATTTCAATCCCTTTGACAGAATTCAAATTTTATCCAGTTAATTTTCATAACTAATCACATCCATGTTATCAAACAGATCATCTTATTAGCTTAACTCAACATTACATAATAATTTTCTTACAAATAAACCTATCATTCTAAATTTTTTTTTAAAAAACCCACATTCTTAATCAATTTAATATATATATATTCCATTAATCACCCCCTTTTCTCTTACTTTTTAAGCTGAAAAGATAATATCAAACCTTAAATCATTTCAATCCATTGGACATCAAACAAACAAATCATCTTATTAAAAATAATAGTTTTCATATCAATAAACCCATCAATTCAAAAAGTACATTCTTAGTCAATTAAACAAATATCTTCCATTAATTGCCCATTTCGCTTATATCTTGCTCATAATCTTAGTCCTTAAATCAGTCCATAATTCTAAATTGCCTTTAATTCATTACATAAAATTTTAATTTCTACTTCTTTTCAGTAGTATTCTGGGCTTCTTTTTCTGCCAGATAGGTTTCTATAACAGAGCTTCCTTTCCAACTGATAAGTCTCTCTTTGTTGCTTGCAGTATCATTTGAATCCATGTAAGCCATCTTGGCTTTTGCATTGGCCCTCTGTTTCTCTTAACCATAAAATTTCGTTGCTTTAACATTTCAAATCTCAGTCTTTGCTTTTCCTGGTCCTCAAAACCTTAGGTGAACTGCTTATCAGGCAAAGTCAATTTCTCTTTATTCTCAGTTAAGTCCTCTTCTTGTATAGTCTGTTTTATAGAATAATCATAAGTAGTTTGAGAGTCGATTTTGACGTTTAAAGGAGAGATTCTGGCTCTTGTTCTGTAGTAAACTATTTCTTCTTTAGCCTCATAAATCTTTTCCAGAATAAGTTTACAATTTAAGTGTGAATGCAGCTCCATTTTAAAAGTTATTCAGCTTTTTTCAATATTAGCTTTTGGCCAGTAGATGTCCTTAGTAAGCTAAAAAATCTTTTTCAAGAATCATTTTTTTTCCTTTCTTTCTATTTTTTAAGGAAAAAGTGGAGAAAGAAATACTCTTCCAATGTAAGATAGTAATAGCGCTCAGCAAGAAACAAAATAATAGGATAAACTGATAATATAGCTCTTAAGAAAAAAAAAATCGGTACCCCAGAACATGTATAAAAAAGAAGTAATCTTTAAAATTTTGTTTTACGCCTTTCTTCCGAAACAAGTAGAAGCTACTTTTCCAAGCAAGGGAAATAATTCCAATGGGGCTCTTACAGGCAAAAAAGAAAAAGAAAGAAAACAAAGTGGAAGGAAAGATAATTCAGGACGGAGAGAGGGAGGAAAGGTCTCACCTGGATTCACCACAGTGGTTCTTTATGCTTAGATGATTTTCTGACTTCAGCTGGCACAGCAAAGCGATCGGCCATTTTACTGACCGATCTTCTCCATCGGCCCTATGGAGTTAGCTCGGACTGTAGGGGGAGCCGCCGCTCCACCGCAGCTGAGCAAAAGCCTCGATAGTGGTCGCCCCTCCAGCGTGATTTAAGACCCGCATAAGAGTCTACTGGTAGAGACAAAGGCAGCCATCAAAGAGTGAAATCTCTTCGTGTGGCTGAAGCTGCCTGATCTGGAAGCGGAAGTGCATGTAATGGTGTTGTAATACCCATTTGGTTACATAGGGCTATGCTACACTGCAAATATCTAGATATCCATGAGATGGTAGCAAAGAGAAAGGAAAAACACAAGTGCTCAACTGAATTTTCCATTCCTGGATAGCCAGAGTACAGGAAACAAAAAGGCTAGTCAATTTCCCACTGCTCCACAATGAACCAGAAAGGCAGTCATGTGTATAGTACATGCTCAAATAAACATACTTATTTTTCTGTATATTACTATAACTTGTTTGATTACCTGAATATCAAACTATCCATGAATTCCCGCCCAAAAGTAACATTTTTATATAAATTTATGTTCTAACTTATCTGAATTATTCATATTTTTTTTCTTTAGATTAGTTCTGAAAAACACAAGTAGAGACAATCCAGTCCATATCACATGGCTATTGTTGTGGGGAATACAGGAGGAAGATGATGTGTTGGATAATGTTCACTGCCTTGAGTTATTTGTAAATTTGGGGTACAAATAAACGAGATAAGCGTGTATAACCAACATATTTAAATCCCATCCTGTTAGCTCATCTTCAAATGATTTTCCAACGCATCCTTAGTAAAAGGAGGTAATTTAAATTTTAACTTTTTACAAGTTTTTTTATACCTCCTTTATTTTTATAAATAACTTAAGGCAGCAAACACACCTAATATTCTTCCTTCTTCCTATTTTTCCCACAACAACCCTGTGAGATGACTGACAGAGGGCGACTGCCTAAGTTCACCCAGCTAGCTTTCAAGCCTAACATGGGTGGGATTTATTGAGGGTTTTTTTTAGGTTTCATTGATCAATTCTATTCCTGAAAGCATTTTCGGCCTGTAAAGAGGAAACATTTTATTGCATATGAATAGTGACTTCAAGTACATCTTAAAATCCTGTGGTGGTGTTTAAATATCTGATGAATTCTTTGCAGCTCCTCAAGATTCCAGAATACTGTAATTCCTGATTGTCTCATTCTATATGATCCTGTCCAATTTCCAGGTATTCCTGGTCTTTTTCCTTTGCTCTTATATACCACAGGAATCTCTTTACAGAAAAGTAACTTGAATTCACAAAATGAGTGACATATAAATTTAATAATAAAATTTGTAATGAGAAAAAAGGGGGCAGAAAGGTCTGTTTTTATAAGCTCAATTGCAAAACTAAATATTCAATGGCAGAGGTCTTAAATTGCATCTTAACTAGTATATTAAACCAACCATGTCTTTCTATTTCCCTTAAGTAATCCAATATTGCTGAATGCTCAAATAGGGCATATGGTACCATCCTTCACCTATCAGATACAGTCACTAAAATCCAGATAAGGATAGTATAATTGCTGGCAGACACCCAAGTAATGAAGATTGGCTCCAATTTTATAAATCACCAACAGATGACAGTACTGACAAACTAGAAACTCTGATGTGTTTCTCAGTTCCTATTTTTTTCTTTACAGTTATGAGAAAAAATTGTGTTGTCACTGAAACTAAACCTGCAGTGAGTACTGGTCAGTGTGCTTTAGGCAATGCATTGTGATTGAATTTTTGACAGCTAATTAAAATTTACTGCATAATGCAGATTGATGACAATGACTATTAAGCACTGTGCATTGCTGGGCCCCCAAAAGTGTAAATATTGGTGAACTAGGAAGAACTGATATGTTTGATCAAGAATAAATGAGCAACTTATTATAGCAACCCACAAGTTTAAATGAGCAATATTAATGAACTGATTGAGGACAATCAGTAGATTATGGAAAGGAAAATTGCTGTAAAGCTTGGCATTTCATAGAATATGTGTTGTTGAATATTAGAAAGTTTGTGCTAGATGGGTTCCTTGTATGCTGATGAGAAAGATGAACACTTTGAAACTATAAAAATGGAGGTGAGGAATTTCTACATAACATGACAGACAACAAAACATGGGCACTTCGTTATGACACAGACATAAAGCATCAGTCCATGGAATACTGTCATAAAACATTTCCAGCAAGGGGAAAAAAACCTCTAGGCTTTGGCAGAAAAACTCATGGGTACAGGTTTTTTGGAATGCAGATGATATTATTCATAAGGATTTCCTCACGATATATGTGGGTGACACTCAAAACTATGAAACAATATGTTCAGAAGAAATATGGAACTACAAAGTTTCATTTATTTTATGAATAATGGATTTGTTTATAAAATTATGATGTTAAAGTTTGAAGGGAGTTAAGGGTTAGTATGATTTTGGTTATTGTATAATTAGTAAAGTTAAGTAGATTATGTTTAATATGTTTGTATAACCCTGTACTTGGCTCTGGGAATTCGGGGGGGGGGGCGGGGGGAGGGTGGGTTGGAGGTTAAATAGGTCAGATAAGTAGAAATAGTTTTATTGTATATAATATTGATGTTGTAATTTGGAGAGAGGAATTGCTCGGGCATTTCCCCTGGACTGCATCCGGAGTGGGATGAGAAGGTAGGAGGAAGGGGAGAAGCAAGTAGGAAGGTGGAGGAGAAAGAGGAGAGGAGGAGAGTGGTGAGGAAGAAGAGGGAGGAAGAGGGAAGTAAGGGAGGAAGTCAGAGGGAGGATGCGGTTTGGGGGGAAATGAGTGAGCAATACCGAAAGTTGTGTGTATAAATTTATTTTACTCTTTATCTGAAGTATTTTGTATGAGTGTAATGAAAAATGGAAAATAAAAACTTAAAAAAAACTATGAAACAATTAAGCAGAGTTTGGAAGCATAACACAAGAAATAAATTTGTTGCAACATACTTTAGGCCTCACACCTCACAAGCCACCAAGAGACAATTGCAAAGTTGTATCTAAATCTTACCTCATATCACATAAGGTTCAGAATCCATGCCATGTGACTTCAATCAATTTCCAAAGTGAAAGGAATATCTTTGTGGGTATCTAAGTCAAATAAAGTGCTGGAAGGAATTGTCAGGACCTGATTGAAAAGACAAAGTATGGAGTTCTTTGTGATGACTTTAAGAAACTATTCCACCATTGCCAGAAGTATACAACAAATGGGGACAATGTGAAATAGTGAATCAAGTAACTAAAGAGCTCAGGAAAATATAATTTTAAAATATCCTCATTTAAACTAAAGTTATGGAAGGAGGCACTGCTTCTAATTAAATTCTTATATTTTAAAAAATAGTTCAATGTGCTCTTACAATATGCCTCTTTTGGTGAGACCCAAAAGAAGCATCTGAAGGCAACCTGTAGGATAGTAATCTTCTAAGGTAATATCTTACTATCCTCTGTCCTCTCCCGTATTATCATACTAGTTTTTCTGGGGTAGCTGTACAGATTTCTGAACAAAACTTTGACCAACTATCATCTATATTTCTATTTTTTAGAATTTCTATGGGTCAAGAATAATTTGCATAAGATTACATTGATAAACTTTTGGACTCCAAACATTACTTTCTTTTTAGAGTAAACAATAAAATCAGATGGGGCGGGGAGTCTGGCAGTATGATGTGTATTCATGCCAGACTACAATACTTGTTCCAAGAAGATATCCATGATTTGTCTTTTTATTTCTCCTTTAAATTTTTTTTAATATATTTCAAAACATCTTTAATGTGGCATGTAAAGCTATTTTTTTTCAAATGAAAAAAAAATGAAAAGATGAAAGCCTTTGGGTTCCTGTAGAACAGACCAAAAGTAATTGAACTGTATCTTGAATATTCTATACAGCTATAAAGTACCCTGCCCTGAAGGCAATCAACTCTATGGTACTGGAATTGAGAAATATACTATTTTTGTACTGACTGCTAGGTGTTCTAAATTGCATTAATTGCTTCAACATTTTACATATGCAGTTAATTAGCTATGTACTCATCAGCCTGATTGTTAAAAAATGTACTCATGGGGCAGCTGTAATTTGCTTACTGGCATTTAGGACAGAACTTGAATGGCTGATGTATCCAGAATATTTATATAAAGCACTGATGCTGTTTTATATAGAATCAAGCATTTGGTTCAACTACTAACTAATATTGTTGATGCTGGCAAAAAAAAAAATTTCTAGTATTTCAGGCAGACCTTTCCTAGGATTTCATAGGCAACCTTCTTATCCTGACTATATACTGTATCAGTTTTTGGTTTTGTTTTGATTTTGTACCTTTAAGTCAGTGTTGGTGGTGATTGCCTGTACAAGTCCCTACAATTTTCTTGGCAATATTTTTGGAAGTTTGCCTTCTTCCTGGAGAGAGAATGACTAGCTGAAAGTTCAAACAGTTGGCTTCACCTCTAAAGTAGAATTAGAGTTGATATTGTCCTGGTTTCTAGCCTGGTACTTAATCATTAGCCCAAACTGGCTCTCTACATTGAACTAAAGCCCCCAAATTCTTTTCTGTTGAACTTTATCTCTAATTATTTCATGGATATTTCCAGGTAGCTCACTTGGCACCAGTTAAAAAATGGTTAGTCATAAGTTTCTTTGGGGATTCCCCCCCCCCCCCATTTTCCCAGTCTAGCCTACATTCCTGAGTCTCCCACTTAGATACAAATCAGACCTCAATCTCTTTAGAGGCTTTTTTGAGTTAAGAGCAAAATCAGCCAGGTCCAATCATTTGCTGAGGCCTTAATAACTACAGCTCTTATATTTTCCAGGCTTATAAAGAAGCTAACAAGTGAATAAATATGAATAAAGAGAACAATGTTACAAAAAAAGTTGAACTCTGTTTGAAAATGTAGGAAGATAGAACAATGAAGTCCAATATATCTGAATGAAATAAGGAGCCCAAGATAGACAAAATGTGTGTGTGTGGGAAAAGAAACCCAGTAGCCAGAATAACTTTCACATAAACATATCAGATTCATGCCAATATGAATACTGTAAAATACACATGCCACTGAAATCTAAATTGTATTCAAGAGTTAAATTTTGCTTATAAACTACCACTTCAGGATACTCAACTGCCTAGCCATTAAGTAATTAATGCAGGTAGAAGTATTTCTTCATCCCACTTCCAAATCACTCAGTCACTAGCAGACTTCATACTCTTTTAAATTGGGTAAATAATTCTGATTAATATACTATGACAAGTACACACAATCATTACAAAATATAAGTGATACACAAAGTTTGCAAAGACAGCATGTTCCAACCTAGCAAGTGTCATACTTTTGCCAAAGAAATAAGCTATAAATGAAGCAGGCAGATCAATTTCAGTAGTGCTTTAATCAAGCATTTGGCCCTTCAAAGTGAACACTAACAGTACTGCATTGTACAATATATGAAGTTGGGCCCATATGAATTATGCAGCTAAGTAACACTTAAGTAGAATATATCTATAGATTCTGCAAAGCCCACAAAGATACCATTACAGTACCCAATTCAGGTCTTTACGTGTGACGCCTGCTAGCCTTTTTGGAAATTAATAACAGGTAAACGAGGGGATGTGTTCACCTTAAAGAGAAACCGAACGCAACCTACAAAAGATCAAACAAAATCATCCCTTTCGGGCGTAAACTTCACATTTGACGGACAAGTTCTGGTGTTTTCCTTCTCCGCGTTCTTTTTCTTTTCCCATTACCTTTGCACGGAAGATCAGCACGCGCGTAAGTTACCCAGCTTCCCTAAAGATCCTCATAGACTCTGTCCCCACGTTTCACTCCGCAGGACCCTCTACTTGGGATTGCCGCGGATGAACCCCTTTCCCCGCCATGACTTACTCCGCAGCAGCTTCAGACTTAACTCGCCATAAGACCCCCAAATCAGAACGAATTAACAACTGGAGACTCCCTCCTCAATTACGCATGCGCAAGCATTCATTCTCTGTTCCCTGTGGAACGCTCGACAAGGAGGCTTTCGGCCACTCCCCCACCTCCCTCTTCCCAGCGTTCCAAGCGGCGGATATCGCAAAGAGATTGTCTCCAGGTCGGTGTGGGGCTGACTGGGGCGTGTAGTCTTTCGTACGACGCTTTCCCTGGAAACGGAAATACTTCGCTCCTTAGTATTGAGCTGTCCATGCCTTTTCCTTTCCCGTTTGTGCGAGGGTCCGTTAACTCCGTTCCCTAAGGAGCGCGGGTCTCTTTATTGCCTGGCATTCATTTTCTACCCGTGCTAGATAGTGCTGTCCGACTCGGAGCGTTTGTAAACGGTTCGTCGAGCAAAGCATTTTGGGACTCAGAGTTTTCTTGGCGGACTGCCCTCTGGGCATTGTAGTCCCGCGGGAGTTTTGACCGGGCGCTCGTGCCAGTGGAAGCGTATCCGGCCTCTTGTGAATGTAGGCGAGGGTTGTTTGATCACGTTGCCTAGCAGCGGTCGTCCCCACCTTAAACGACTACGGATGTCAGCGAGGGAAGACAAAGGAAAGAGGCTGAAAGGTGGGAGGATAGGCGGTGGAAAGTAAGCGAGTCAGCACAAGGGGCGGCTCAGGGACCGTGGAGAGGCTTGAGGAGATACGGGGACTGATTCCGCTTCTAGTCGGGGTTGAGGGAAGACCGAGTTGATGCTGGGATTATGCCAGGCACCCTCCGGTTTCTGACTGAGCCTTTCTGATCTTTTGAGATATTTAAACCTCTCTTTCCGGGAGGAACAGTCCTTGGCGAGCGAGATAGGGTGGTTTTTATGTGGCTAACGTGCCGTTTAGGCCGTCCAGTCCTCTGGTGTGGTCCACATACGTGTGAAAGGCCTACGTGTATTCTGCCTCTGGCGGAATGGCTACTAATCCACAATGCTTTCGGCATAATAGACTCTCTCCCTCTCTCCTGTAGCATACATAATCTTAAAGCAGCGAAAAGTTTCGAGCCCCCTCCCTTAAGGCCCAGCCAAGTTCATGGGAGAGAGAAGCATTGGATGGGCAGAATAGACCAAATCTCTCCTGATCTCATGTTTTCCTTCTTGCACATTATTTGATGAAAAAGGAGAAAAAATGGTATCTTGGAGAAAATGGACCATTACGTTCCAAAACATTAAAACATTTTCAATTTGTGAAGAAAAGGTATTATAGAAGCCATGTGAAGAAACAGCAAATAAAATAACATGGGGAAAAAATTCTTTTAGCTTCTCCATTGTTTATAAAAAATGCCTGCAAAGAAACAATATTGATTGCAATTTTGACTGGTTGATAATTGTAAGACCCCTGGACAGAAAAACTGCTATAAAACACTGCTTTTAATGTTGCTTTGACAATTGGAAACACATTGGATTACAAAAACCATATATAAAGATAAGAACTATATAAGATTTTGTTGTTTGGATTTTAAGATTGGTTGATTTGACAAAGCTAATTACAGAGACTATAATGTTGTTCGTCCATCGATTTCAATGAGGACCTTGACATCTTGTGGATTATGGGCCATCAACGATGTGTCCGTAGGTGGCTGATAAGACCGATGTTAGCACGGAATGTTCTGCCACATACTGAACAAAGAAATGTAGACACTGTTACTTCAGCATTTACAGCTCTGGCTTTGCAGAGTGCTCGTTTCTCTTATGCCAAGATTGTCCTTCTGTGTTCATATGTCTGGCAACCCTGGTACACCAAGGTGCTCCATGTTGGTTGATCATGTGCCAGAAGTTCCCAAGAGTTGGTGTTAATATCCAGGGACTTGAGAGAGGCTTTCAGCGTGTCTTTGTATCGCTTCTTTTGTCCCCCATGCGATCATTTTCCTTGAGACAGCTCACCATAGAAGAGCTGTTTAGGGATGCGATGATATGGCATCCTTACAACATGGCCTGCCCAGCGCATCTGGGCTTTCATCAACCGAGTGTAAACTGATGATAGGCCTGCTCTGGAGAGGACATCTGTGTCTGGTATCTTATCCTGCCACCGGATCCTCAGAATCCTATGAAGGCAAGTCATGTGGAAGTAGTTCAGTTGCCTAACGTGCCTCCTGTACACTGTCTAGGTCTCACTAGCATACATCAGGGTAGTTAGCACTGCTGCCTGGTAAACTTTAAGCTTAGTAGCAAGGCTTATTCCACGGCAGTCCCACACGTTAGTCCGCAATCTGCCAAATGCAGAACTTGCTTTGGCAATTCTACAGTTGACCTCGTTGTCAATTGTCACTGCACGGCAGAGAGTACTACCAAGATACGTAAATTGGTCCACTGCTTGCAGCTTTTGTCTCTTTACTGTGATGGTAGGCTCTTGATATTGGGCTTTTGGAACTGGCTGGTACATCACTTCAGTTTCCTTCATGTTGATGAGGAGGCCAAAGTTGTCACAAGCGGCTGCGAATTTGTCCATGCTAGTTTGCATTTCTTGCTTTGATCCTGCATTAAGGGCACAGTCATCAGCAAAAAGGAGATCTCGTAGCACAGTCTCCTTTACCTTGGTGTCACCAGGGTTACAGAGACTATAGTATTGGTGAAAGACTATCAGGAGGGGGGAGACAAAATGGATGTTGCATACTTAACTAAAAGTGACAGGAAACCACACCTAACATTCCCTTCTGAAGGCCCCAGCCTGGAACATCAGGGATCTGCAGGAGCAATACTCCAAGACAAGGCAAATACTTTCCAGGAGGAAATGTATGTAATGCTGTGACCGATTCAAATGACAATTGTTTCAAACCATGATGAGATTAAAAACAACTTTGATGATATAAATGAGCACATTTCCAACCTAAACTTAAAATTACAAAACTCAGAAAACGACAATAAAGAATGAACGAACAAATCAAATAACAGAACATAAACCAGAGGAAAGTGACCCAAATGGGGAAACTACAAATGAAGAGAACCACAGCTTAATACAAACAAAAGAAAATCTGCAAAATTTTGCCATAACAATGAAAATGGAAAAGATATTTTATCTTTCAGAACTTCAAAACAAACTTAAGGATAAGAAAGAAGATCTAACAAAATGGATTATACAGCTGCCAGGAGAATCATTAGAATTTGGAAGACACAAAACATACATTCTACTTAACTTGTCTTTCCTATTCCCAACAATATTCATAAAAATACAGGAAGAATCCTCTGGCAAGCGGAACATATGGACATGGAAAGTTACATGGCAAAAGCGGAAGGCTAGAGTTAGATTCAAGAGACTCAATTCACCAGATAGAGTACTATATGATCAAACACTTGCTTGAATATGGTTAAAATAATAGATAAATGTTGAATATAAAGGGCCCTTGCAGTAAGAGGGATAAGATATATAAGTAGCATAATATTTTTTATAATATATGAGATGTAAAAATATTAGGATGGTGTATGAGAATGAAAAGTTTGGATATTTAAAGGTAATTAATTTTGAGAAAATTATGACTGATAAGAATGGTCTGAATACTGAGGGGAAATTAAGCTTAAATAAAAATCTTGAAAACAGGACTCATAGTGACTTAATAAGATTACTTTTACAAATATAGTTGAAACATAAGCCGTTGAGAAAAGATGTTGCATGTGGATGTTATTGTTATTGGTACAAACACAAGAAAAATGTTTATATCCAATCTTGTATGGAAAGTATTAAAAATTATATTCACTTAATATTGACAACTAATATATTGATTATGGAACTATAGAAATTAATTATTGTTTTTAAATATATGAACCCAGACAACACACAGTTTACTAAAGATAGTTATTGTAAAAAATCAATAAACTATATTAAAAAAAACCTATCAACAGATTCCACACATTGTAAAACTTTGTAGAAAAGAAAAGCTGCTTGATGTGAGAGGAGTCTATTCATTACTCATTCATTCATTTATTCACTGATTCTTTCAGTTATAAAATGCTTACTGATATGAAGAAAAAATGAAAACAAAAGAAAGTGGGAGGGAGGAGTTGAATAGAATAAGCCAAAAGCTTGATGACTTAGAGCTATAGAAAGTTTCCTGTCCTCAGGGTTACAATTGCTTGTTGAGCAGTGCACTGCTGTCTATACTGCAAAAAGCAGTAGAGCGCTTAAGATATGAACTAAATTTGATTTGATTTATATTTAAATTTAACATATTACATTAACATTTGTTGTACATCTCAAAATGACACTGAAATTTCAAAGCCTTACACTGCAAGGTTGACAGGTTTAAGCATGTCACAAAACTCTGAAAATGTTCTATATGGTTATAATATTATGCACATTCTTAGAAATAATCTAATTGAATTTAATAGTACTAGTTTAGAATAGAATAGAATAGAATAGAATAGAATAGAATAGAATAGAATAGAATAGAGCTGGAAGGGACCCTGGAGGTTTTCCAGTCCAGCCCCCTGCTCAAGCAGGAGAACCTACACCATCTCGGACAGGTGATTGTCTAGTCCAGCGGTTCTCAACCTATGGGTCATGACCCCATTTGGGGTCGATCGACCATTTCACGGGGGTCGCCAAGCAAGGGTGTCCGCCATTTTTTTCCCCTTTTCCAGCAGCTGCCTTACCTCCCTTGGGCTGGGCCAGCTGGTGGCCCAGCCGGTGGTCGGCCTGCTCCGTCTCTGCTGCTTGCCAGCTATGCCTCGGCCGGCGCAGGGGACGGCACCACGCATGCGCGGTGCTCCCGGGCAGGGAAAGACCTCGACTTACGACCGATTGGGTAGTCCTCGACTTACGACCGGTTGGGGGTCACGGCAT